AGGAATTATACACTTAAACAAATTATTTGGAGGAATCGGATCACCAAGATCAATAGTGACCGATAAAAAGAATTTTGTAAAAACTTGATCATAAAACACATATTTCAATATGGCAATATCAACTGAGATTGAACGGGGCTGTGTGATATGTAGGGGAGACCGGGGATAGTTTGTTCCCGGGGTAGGTATTTCCTTCTCAAATAATTTAAAAATTAATAAAGTTTAAGATTTGAAATTTAAGCCAAATATGTATTATAATAAGGTGCTTAAGTAGGTCCAAAATTGTTTAGGACAAAATTGCTCATGAAAAATTTTAAATGCAAATTTAAGTTTCAACATACCCAAAGTAACTTATTTAAATTTTACATTTTCACGAATAACTTTTTTTATAAAAGTTGTTCAGACTTAATATAAATTCTAAATGATAAAAAAATCTCCATTTTATCATATATAAAAATATTGACAATCATTATTTATATTTAATATTCTAAATTTAATTTTTAAATGATCCTGTGGACCTGGGGAAGGTATTAGCGGGGTGCGTCTTTTCCTTTTACATACATTCATTAAAATATTGGTTCTGATTTTGTAAAATGGTTCGAACATATATTTCAAATGCTGAAAGATAAGATACCTTTGACAGTTATAACCATGAATACGAATTTAAGTTATGGGAGGTATATTTATGTATTTAAATTAGTATATATTTAAGAAACTAAGCATTAAGAGGTATAATATTCAAAAGGAATGAAGATTTTCAAGAGCAATATCTTCACAGATCAGTATTTTCTCCTATTCAAGAAGCTAAATTAACCGATTATTTAATTAAAGGATCAAGATTTTTTTCAGGTTTATGCCCTAAACAAGTATTTTAATCCTTTGTTATATCATATATCTCTGTAAAATGAATTTTTTTATAATCTTTAAATTTATGCCATGGTATTTCTTTAGTTAAATAATTACTATATATGATATCCCTGGAGTAGTAAAGGATGTCTTTGCACAAGCCACCTCAGCTTCAAATATCCAAAAGGGTTTTGAATCCTCAGGTATATGGCCCCTAAATCCTTTAATTTTTAATGACGAAAATTCTAATCCTTTTTATTATAATAATAATAACGATCCTAATGAGAATTTAAATTTATCTGAAATTATTTCGCAACCATCTGTCAGTGATAGTCCTGTTCCATCATCTTCTCACGTGGAAAAAGATTTTGCTCCAGAAACTATTAGTCCCCATCCAACAATATTTAAAAAAACAACACGTAATCAAATGACTTAAGCCATTTTAACCTCTTCACCTTACAAAAAAATAGCCAGATCTAGGGCTAATAATCTGGATAAAAAAATCAAACCAATAATAAAAAAAGTAAAAAAAGTTTAAATATGAATACTGGCAAAAAAGAATTTTGTTTAATGTGCCACAAAAACTATCATCACCACCATAATGAAGATTGGTTCCAATGCCGTAATTGTCATTTATGGGCACATGGATCATGTTGTGATTTTAATCCATTTTTTATATGTAATAAATGTGTTGTATGTTAATATTATATGTTTGTTATGATTTTTGTATGAAAAAAATGAATTAAATGCTTAGAAAATGATAGTCTAAAACATGCCCCACAAAAGGATAATACGTCCCTCGTCTCTTTTTCATCACTCAAAAATTTTCATTTTTTTTAAATTTAAATATTAATTTCTACCGTAGATAATTATATAAAGAATAAAATAACATTAAATTATTTTGATAAATTATTTCTCTTCCTTTTCACAGCCTCTCAATTTTTTATGGACGATATAACCCCGGTCTCCCCTATTAGGAAAAATAAGGTTAAAAATTAAAAACATGTTTTTAACTTTCTTTATTGTACCGGAAAAAATATAATTGGTCAAAAAAATTATCCTAATATTTTAAAATAAGTAATTGTAAATAGAGGTGGGCGCGGGCCTAATTTTTTATTCACGGCCCGTCCGCTCACGATGGCAATAAAAAAATTCACGCCCATTCACGCTTTACCACTAAAAAATTTTCGACTCGACCCGCCCGCTTACGACAAGCAATATTTTGATTCACGCCCGAAAATTCACGGTATTTTTAAATTTTTCAAAACTATTGCTATAATTTCACACTTTTTTAAATTCATTCTATTTATTTCTCTAATTTCATAATCCATATTAATAACAAAATAAATACAATCTATAAATCTAAATTTATTTAGAAAAAGAAGAATGTCCATCTTTTTTTATTTCAATTGTGTACGCCTTTCCTCTAAATTGGCTACAGAAAATAACCTTTCACTAGAAGCCGAACTTGCAGCTGACATAATTTTACCCGATAATTTTCTTAAAAAAGGGAATGAATATTTCTGCTTCCAAAACTTCAAAATATTGTCTTGTTATTTATCTTATATGATACTTTTAAGTTCATCCTCACAGCTTTCATCGGTGATGTTGATGCTTCATCAGAATCATCTAAAAATTCTCTAAATTTTTTATTTAGAATATACGGTCTTTTATGAGTGTAAGTAGAATTAGAAAAGTGATAGTTGGTATTGACCATTTAGAATATACTGTTTTTTATGAGTTTAGGATAAGTTAGGAAATAAATGATAGTTGGCATTGACTTATGCATATCATCTAATTTTATATCATTTCGCATTTTTAAGATTGTTTTATATATATCATTTTCTTCCTTTATTAAAAACTTAAGTCTTTTGAAATTCGAATCTAGAATTAAGCCTAACTTAGTTCCTGCATAATAATCTTTTAAAAGAAATCTTGTTCTGTATTTTAAGGTTTTGATTGTTATTGTATCACGTTCAGAAGGTTAACAAAATTTTATTAATTTTAATTTCCATAGACAAACTTCATTTATTGTGGGACGAGAATCTGCTCTATCCGAGCCTTCTTTAAATATTGATATAAATTTATCTAACTCGCGTATGATGCTGATATCAATTGTGGCTAATCTATTTAATTCTTGTTGCTAAACAAGTACACCTGTATTTCAGAATATGATTTTAAGTGTATCATGATATATACAGAGTTCCATCTAGTTTTTTCGTTATTACAACTCGTTTAAGGGTGTGGCTTAGTTTGCTATTAGCTATAGATTGTTTGAAATATTGTACTATTTTTTTACACCATTTATATTTATGGCTATTTCAGTTAAACAATTGTCAAAAATATAATGCATAATATTATTTAGTATATGGCATATACATGCAAGCGTTTCGTCATCTTTCAATGCACTTATAAGATTTGCTCTGTTATCACTCACAACACATTTATTTAAGTATTTTCTACTTCTGTATATTCTAAAATTAATTGATTACACTTTTAATTTTGACGTTTTTTTCATCCATTGCCATTGTGTCCAAAACAAATGTTTTTAATTTAAAATCCTTAATGATAATATGTCCTATAATGGTTAAAAACTTAGATATTTATAGTCATCCGTCCAAATATCAGTGATTATGGACAAGTAATTATTATTGATCATGTTTTTAATCTTAAATTTTATTTCATGGTATATTTTTGGACCTATAGTATTCATGAGAGCTTTCCGGTTCACAACTTTTATATTTTGTTATCCATATGTAACACCAACATTTATCTTTTGGCCTAGCTTGTAAAATCCTTCACCTTCTGTTGCATTTAAAGATCGAAGATTTTTATAAATAAAATATAACTGACTTTTCTGTAAAAAGTTTAAGCAAAATTTAGCATAAAGTCTCGCGACAAAAAACACCTAAACATAAAAAGATAATAGAACTAACTAAATGATAACGGATGTTGTTTATAAAATGCGGAAGATTTTTAGCTTTCATTATTCTTTTTTAAAAAAGAACTATAAATAAGAAAATATATAATATAATTATAAAATTGCTAATTTATATTCATAAAAAAACAATTTAAAAAATTAAAATTTCCGTGATTCACGGGATTTATGTTCACGCCCGATCACGGCCGGGGAAAATTTTGGGAAGGCCCGTCATGCCCAGTCAACCCTTGGAATTTAAAATTTATTCACACTCACGCCGTGAACGCCTAATTTCACGGCCCGCGCCCATCTCTAATTGTAAATATAATAATTAGAATTGAAAATAAGAGCAATTATAAAGTAAAATTCGCTGACTTATTTAAGTCAAAATGAGGAAAATTATTAATTTCAAATCAAAAATAACCTCAAAAGAAGATGCATAAGAATGATCCTTCAAGTTTCGCCCTTGCCTTTAGCTTTGAAAAATAATAGTGACGGAACATTAAGTAAATTATTAAAATTAAAAATAATTGAAAACTTAACATTTTCTTAAATAACAGCACCCATAGTTTCTATTAGAAAAATATGAGATGATTAGGAGCTCTGGGGAATTTCGAAAAACGATTTTTACAAATAATTAAATATCATTATTTACAATTGGTCACCATACATGTTCTAAGGCAAGTGTTTTCACCCGAATGTCCTTGGTGTAGAAATTTAATACTCCTTCTTGTATTGATCATTAATAAACCTAGAAGCTTACTCTGATAATTTCATCCCTTCTTAAATAAAATTATTGTATAATCTTCGTCTATTTTTTAGGCCAACTATTTGCTACAATTCTGGCTACTCTTGACAAGATTATATTACTGGCTGTTTCTTTTATATATTTTTTATAGTTTTTAATTGGTCGTATTGCCACATTTTTGATGTCTGGCGATTGTTCTCATTCACTTATGGTTCATCAGCTAATAGTAATCTTGATATCTTCTCGCAATTTTTGTGTTTCTTTGTTTCTCTTGAGGATAGTAATCAAAATTAGCTAAAAATAATGACCATCGAATTAAACTGGAGGCATGTCACTCATGTGCATAGGGTTTAATAAAGATATTAGTACTATGTGATCAGTTATAATTTAAAATTTATTACCTAAACTAGTTATTCAAATTTTTTTAAGACCAAAAATTATCGATAACGCTCCTTTTCCCGACTATAGTTTTCTCGACGGCCGATAACGTTCTTGACGCGATAACAATTGGTTTATCGATATCCTATGTAATAGAATGAGATAATATTTGGATTATGATTTACAATTATCTGTGCCTATGATTATGTTTTTTAGCAACTAAATCGCTTCCCTTTTATATGATTTCCATTCTTTGTTCCTATATAATAACTTATATAATTGTTGAAAAATTTGGTATATCGTTATTGCATCTAAATGTTTTGTAGTTGGCGATATACCTTCTTTATTAATTTTATGCGTCAAAATTTAATACAATTCGATTGTCTCTTAATACAGTTATACCTTATTCAAATTATTTTGATGCTCCTCTACGGGCCGACTTACTGTGATGTCATCCGAATAAACTGCTGTTCCTGGTAAACATTTTAGTGGTGAATCGATGATACATTGAAATATCGCTGAGGCTAAGGCAATTCCAAATGGTAATCGATTATACCAATATATTCCATTTTGGGGTATTGATAACAACTTATCTCTTTTATAGTCGTCCTCTAGTTCGAGGCATTGGATAAATCGAGACTTGTAAAATGAGATCCTCTTCCAATGGCTGCTTATATATCATCAATTCTTGGTATGGGATATTGTTTAGTTGACGATTCACTGATCGTTTTCAGAAATTCTCACAGACTCTAGTCTTATCTTTTTTAAGGATCGAAGCTATGATGTTGCTATACGAAGAATGCCATTTTTTGAATTATTTTTAATTTTGCTAATTTAAAGTCTCATCAATATTAATTTCCCAAGATAAAGGTAACGGACGTGCCTTAAAGTACCATTCTTTTGCATTTTCTTTTAATGTTAATTTTGCTTTAAAATTCTAATGTTACTAATTTTAACCAAAATAATTTAGCTAATTTCACTTTGTAATTTATCTTGACAATAATCTTAATAAATGATATATTTATTATATATGATTTTAAATAGTATTGATTTTTCTTACTGATACGTGGAAGTACATCAAACGTTTTCTTATTTAGCAACGATACGGCAGCTCCAGTATCTTCTAGATATACTACAGGGAATTTATAATATACACTTTTTATTTAAAATTATATATATATAAGATCTTTATTATTTTGTGACCTCTTCTTTCTCTCCCACCTGCACTCTTTGTATTTATATCCCATTCCTTTAGATCGACATACATTTGATAGATGCCCTTTTATATCACACTTATGTTAAAAATTTTATACACACGAAGCTTTCATATGATTATCTCTACCACAACAATCATACCTACGCACTTTTTTGAATTTTGCACTAACTTTATTTGAATGGTATTTTTATAATAATATTGATCTCCCATGTTAATTTTTAAGTTGATAATATTATAACTATATCATTGCTTTTTACGCCTGCCCCAAATCTATCTTGTAACATCATATTTTGTTCTCCATATTCACAAATTTTGGAGATTTCCTTATTGCTCCACTTTTTTGAATTTAAATAGTCCATAAATTTGATTTGTTTTCGTTTGTTAATATTTATTTAAGGGTCAATTATTTCTATATATTTTAATATTCTATTTGGGGATAAGCAAGATCGTAAATGTTGTTAAATGTCTCCGTACTAATAGTCAGAAGTGTTGATCTTTGTGCATTTTCATCTATAATACTATTAATCTGGGAGAATTCATTAAATTGTGATAAGTGTATATCAATTACAGTTGATATGGTATAATTTAAAATTTATGCTATGCCATGTTAATTCTTTAAATATAACGATCTAAAAAAATATATAATAGTTTTTCCAGAATTAACTTATCTGTTTTCTTACATTGTCTGGGATTAACTATGGTTCTTCCTGAAAATCTCGGACTTGTATTTTTTCTTGTATCTCAAGCCTTTTGGTATTTTTATACCTAATCTCCTTCCCTCCCCGACTGCGCCATGTTAATTCTTGAATAAATATATTTAATCTTTAAAAAAATCATTATATATATACATATATTTTAAAATAAACAATTAACTTTATATTTTAATCTTAACTCTGAAAACGAAAATAATATTTAAACAAATTAATTTTATATTATGGAAAGGCGAAACTAAATTATATCCAAAACAATTAATTTATTTTATGAAAACAATCAATTGACTAATCTTGACATATTAAATCAAACATATATAACATAAACAACCCAACGTGCATTAAATATATTTATAATAAACAATTCACTCTTTAAGTTTAATCTCTAGGTTTGGGTAATGTTTTTTAACATTACTATCAACCTCAAATAACATTCATAATTATTTAATTCTATGAATATTATACATGGTGAGTGTATAATATTTTTTAGATAGATTTTCCCCTATCCCTTCCATTATTATGATAACCCCCCCCCCCCCGGGTGTTAAAGATTATTTATAAAAGCGCTAAAATATAAAATAAATTTTTGCCCAAGTTCTAGTCGAGTAAGTGTCTGAACTGGAAATTTTTTATCAGAATCCGGCCAGTTGAGTTCGACGAGAATGTATCCACAAGGACAGAATCGAAGCGGACCCTAGTTAAAATAGGGAACCCTTAACATTTAATAGTTTGGCTAGGGTTTTCTTCAAATTTTGAAGGAACCTGGACTAAGAAGGGCCCCAGGTTCTGATTTTTTTAAAAGTGGTTTGGGTTCCTGGGCTTTTTCCTGATCTGAACTCTGGTTTTCTAAAGTATAATTAGAACGGTAAGGTCGCATTCATAGTGGGTCTGAACTGACACGATTTAACAGCTGATCGACATTAAAGATCTATGAGATCAATTTTATATTAATATTAATTTTATCTTTAATTCTATTTGTGATGATCTAAGAAATATCGATTGGCATAAACAGATTTTAAAAATCGATTTAAAATTTTTTTGTATTTGTTGCCACTATAAATGCGGCCTCAAGCTGGGAGATTATGCATGACATTTAGTAGAGCTAGATAGAATCTTTTGATAATCATGAAGCTACTAAATAATATATTTTTTCTATTAACTGGAGAAAGTATTCGCCACATGACCTCCTTACACTGTATCTCATTTTTCGTGATTAGTGTATTAATTGATTATTTACATTTGAATAAGTTTCCAGCGATTCAAAAACCAACTGAAGATTCTACCAAATCTGTGTACGTTTGGAGAGCTCAGTTAGATAAATCGGGCAAATTTTGGGAAGGTAATTTATATAAAAAAATTTATACTCGCATATGCAGTCTTTCACCTATAAGATAAGGATTTATATATAATATATATATATGTCGTAATTTTTAAAGGGATCAGAACTATCCGATATCAGAACGGGGTTTAAAAGGATGACTAAAAAATTAGGGTTTTAAGTTAAGGAATGATAATACGGTATTATCGTTTTAATCGTGATAAAAAGGAATCTTATTTTAAAAAGCGTTTTAAGCGCGTTTCGTTTTATTTCATTTAATTATATTGTTATTTATTAATTTCCAATTTTGTTTTCTTAGCCTTATGAAATAAGATATGTCTAATATAGGGTATCAAACGATAGCCAATCAAAAGATCTATTCAATTGGAGGTCAATCTCTACCCCTTAATGAGCGAATCTAGGTCTGGGGGGTCAGGAATATTTTTATCAAAATAAAATATCGATATGGATATCAAATAATAGCTAATTTTAATATCTTTTGACTGATAGTCTTCATTCTTGGCCTTGATGGGTATGACTTGGTCTGGGGGGTGGATGGAGGGGGGTTGTAAAAAATTTTTTTTTTTTGATATGGGTATCAAATAAAAGGTAATTAAAATATTTTTTTAATGTAATAATAATAATCACTCATAGAGGGCGGGTCTAGGTCTTTGGGGTCAGGAATATTTTTATCAACACAAAATATCGATATGGATATCAAATAAAAGCTAATTTAAATACCTAGATTGAAAGTATGCATTTTTTATCTTTATGGGTATGACTTGGTCTGGGGGGTGGATGGAGGGGGAGTGTAAAAAATAATTTTTTTATATGGGTATCAAATAAAAGGTAATTAAAATATTTTTTAATGTAATAATAATCACTCATAGAGGGCGGGTCTAGGTCTTTGGGGTCAGGAATATTTTTATCAACACAAAATATCGATATGGATATCAAATAAAAGCTAATTTAAATACCTAGATTGAAAGTATGCATTTTTTATCTTTATGGGTATGACTTGGTCTGGGGGGTGGATGGAGGGGGAGTGTAAAAAATAATTTTTTTATATGGGTATCAAATAAAAGGTAATTAAAATATTTTTTAATGTAATAATAATCACTCATAGAGGGCGGGTCTAGGTCTTTGGGGTCAGGAATATTTTTATCAACACAAAATATCGATATGGATATCAAATAAAAGCTAATTTAAATACCTAGATTGAAAGTATGCATTTTTTATCTTTATGGGTATGACTTGGTCTGGGGGGTGGATGGAGGGGGAGTGTAAAAAATAATTTTTTTATATGGGTATCAAATAAAAGGTAATTAAAATATTTTTTAATGTAATAATAATCACTCATAGAGGGCGGGTCTAGGTCTTTGGGGTCAGGAATATTTTTATCAACACAAAATATCGATATGGATATCAAATAAAAGCTAATTTAAATACCTAGATTGAAAGTATGCATTTTTTATCTTTATGGGTATGACTTGGTCTGGGGGGTGGATGGAGGGGGAGTGTAAAAAATAATTTTTTTATATGGGTATCAAATAAAAGGTAATTAAAATATTTTTTAATGTAATAATAATCACTCATAGAGGGCGGGTCTAGGTCTTTGGGGTCAGGAATATTTTTATCAACACAAAATATCGATATGGATATCAAATAAAAGCTAATTTAAATACCTAGATTGAAAGTATGCATTTTTTATCTTTATGGGTATGACTTGGTCTGGGGGGTGGATGGAGGGGGAGTGTAAAAAATAATTTTTTTATATGGGTATCAAATAAAAGGTAATTAAAATATTTTTTAATGTAATAATAATCACTCATAGAGGGCGGGTCTAGGTCTTTGGGGTCAGGAATATTTTTATCAACACAAAATATCGATATGGATATCAAATAAAAGCTAATTTAAATACCTAGATTGAAAGTATGAATTTTTTTGTCTTGATGGGTATGACTTGGTCTGGAGGGTGGATGGAGGAGGGGGGCGGGTGTAAAAAAATTTTTTTTTTGATATGGGTATCAAATAAAAGGTAATTAAAATATTTTTTTAATGTAATAATAATAATCACTCATAGAGGGCGGGTCTAGGTCTTTGGGGTCAGGAATATTTTTATCAACACAAAATATCGATATGGATATCAAATAAAAGCTAATTTAAATACCTAGATTGAAAGTATGCATTTTTTATCTTTATGGGTATGACTTGGTCTGGGGGGTGGATGGAGGGGGAGTGTAAAAAATAATTTTTTTATATGGGTATCAAATAAAAGGTAATTAAAATATTTTTTAATGTAATAATAATCACTCATAGAGGGCGGGTCTAGGTCTTGGGGTCAGGAATATTTTTATCAACACAAAATATCGATATGGATATCAAATAAAAGCTAATTTAAATACCTAGATTGAAAGTATGCATTTTTTATCTTTATGGGTATGACTTGGTCTGGGGGGTGGATGGAGGGGGAGTGTAAAAAATAATTTTTTTATATGGGTATCAAATAAAAGGTAATTAAAATATTTTTTAATGTAATAATAATCACTCATAGAGGGCGGGTCTAGGTCTTTGGGGTCAGGAATATTTTTATCAACACAAAATATCGATATGGATATCAAATAAAAGCTAATTTAAATACCTAGATTGAAAGTATGAATTTTTTTGTCTTGATGGGTATGACTTGGTCTGGAGGGTGGATGGAGGAGGGGGGCGGGTGTAAAAAAATTTTTTTTTTGATATGGGTATCAAATAAAAGGTAATTAAAATATTTTTTTAATGTAATAATAATAATCACTCATAGAGGGCGGGTCTAGGTCTTTGGGGTCAGGAATATTTTTATCAACACAAAATATCGATATGGATATCAAATAAAGGCTAATTTAAATACCTAGATTGAAAGTATGAATTTTTTGTCTTTATGGGTATGACTTGGTCTGGGGGGTGGATGGAGGGGGAGTGTAAAAAATAATTTTTTTTATATGGGTATCAAATAAAAGGTAATTAAAATATTTATTTTATTGTAATAAAAATAATCCCTCAAACCGGACGGGTTTAGGTCTTGAGGGGTCAGGAACATTTTTACCAACACAAAATATCGATAAGGGTATCAAATAAAAGCTAATTTAAATTCTTTTGATTGAAAGTATTCATTTTTTTGTCTTGATGGGTATGACTTGGTCTGGAGGGTGGATGGAGGAGGGGGGCGGGTGTAAAAAAAATTTTTTTTTGATATGGGTATCAAATAAAAGGTAATTAAAATATTTTTTTAATGTAATAATAATAATCACTCATAGAGGGCAGGTCTAGGTCTTTGGGGTCAGGAATATTTTTATCAACACAAAATATCGATATGGATATCAAATAAAAGCTAATTTAAATACCTAGATTGAAAGTATGCATTTTTTATCTTTATGGGTATGACTTGGTCTGGGGGGTGGATGGAGGGGGAGTGTAAAAAATAATTTTTTTATATGGGTATCAAATAAAAGGTAATTAAAATATTTTTTAATGTAATAATAATCACTCATAGAGGGCGGGTCTAGGTCTTGGGGTCAGGAATATTTTTATCAACACAAAATATCGATATGGATATCAAATAAAAGCTAATTTAAATACCTAGATTGAAAGTATGCATTTTTTATCTTTATGGGTATGACTTGGTCTGGGGGGTGGATGGAGGGGGAGTGTAAAAAATAATTTTTTTATATGGGTATCAAATAAAAGGTAATTAAAATATTTTTTAATGTAATAATAATCACTCATAGAGGGCGGGTCTAGGTCTTTGGGGTCAGGAATATTTTTATCAACACAAAATATCGATATGGATATCAAATAAAAGCTAATTTAAATACCTAGATTGAAAGTATGCATTTTTTATCTTTATGGGTATGACTTGGTCTGGGGGGTGGATGGAGGGGGAGTGTAAAAAATAATTTTTTTATATGGGTATCAAATAAAAGGTAATTAAAATATTTTTTAATGTAATAATAATCACTCATAGAGGGCGGGTCTAGGTCTTTGGGGTCAGGAATATTTTTATCAACACAAAATATCGATATGGATATCAAATAAAAGCTAATTTAAATACCTAGATTGAAAGTATGAATTTTTTGTCTTTATGGGTATGACTTGGTCTGGGGGGTGGATGGAGGGGGAGTGTAAAAAATAATTTTTTTTATATGGGTATCAAATAAAAGGTAATTAAAATATTTATTTTATTGTAATAAAAATAATCCCTCAAACCGGACGGGTTTAGGTCTTGAGGGGTCAGGAACATTTTTACCAACACAAAATATCGATAAGGGTATCAAATAAAAGCTAATTTAAATTCTTTTGATTGAAAGTATTCATTTTTTTGTCTTGATGGGTATGACTTGGTCTGGAGGGTGGATGGAGGAGGGGGCGGGTGTAAAAAAGATTTTTTTGATATGGGTATCAAATAAAAGGTAATTTAAATATTTTTTTATTGTAATAATAATAATCACTCATAGAGGGTAGGTCCGAATCATTTTACAATATTGAATATATTCTTTCGGAGTGAACGAAATATAAAATTGGCAACACAATATTATGGCAAGATAAAAATACTACAAACTCAATAGGCAATAGCATCGAAAATATTTTAGCTAGACTGCCATCGTTTATTGATAATTGTTACAAAAATAAAATTTTCAATTGGGGATCACGTACTGATCCTAATAAATAAAAATGATAGATCAAATCTATGCCTCAAAAATATTGAAGCCTAAATTATCCAAATGGAGGGCGAGAAATTATGGGTTGGAACTAATTTGGGAAAAATTGATTCCCCATTTTTAAAAACGAACGTTCATAAATCAATAAAATTTACCAATTTGACCATTCCTAATAAGACCATCTCTATAATAACAGCATCAAGAAGTACATCTTCTTCTGGTAATTTTAAATCAATTTGCAATTCCCCAAAAAGTTGCAACAATAAGAGATGCCAATGTTTTAAAAATGGCATTAATTGTTCCAAACTTCAGTTACCAAAATTAATAAAATGTATGTAGATTATATGGCTTGAAAAAAAATATAATAATAGAGATTATTTGCTTATAAAGAAGTGTAATAATTTATAACTGTATTAAGATAATGTCATTTTAAAATTTTTAAATCGATGGCTTCAAATACGAAATTTTGAGATTTAAAAATATTACAAATTAGATTAAGTTGTTAGCAAATAATTTTATCATTAGGCTACAATGAGTTTTTAAAAAGCAATGACTATATTTAACACCTGCTTATAATGATATTTAATATTGAAGTCTAAATATTTTGTATTTAACTTTTATTTAATACCCCATGTTTATGTTTTGCGTTAATAATAATATTCATTACATCTTAAGATGCCCGCTTAGCCTGATAAAATTAATATAATCAAAAGATTTTCTAATTACTATTTATTTGATACCTATATAAATTTTTATTTTTATCCTTCCCCCCCCCCCCCAATTCCCAAATCAAGTCCAACCCTTTAAGATAATAAATACATTCAGTCAAAAGATATTTAAAATACCTTTTATTTTATTCTATATCAATATTTTGTGTTTATATAAATATTCCTGACCACCTAAAATCTCCCGCCTACTCAGAGTATAATTATTACAATCAAGAGATATTTAAACTAGCTTTTATTTGATAACCTTATCGATATTTTGTATTGAAAAAATATTCCTGACCCCCCCCCCTCAAAACCTTACCCGCCCGGTATGATTTTTATTATTACAATAAAAATAAATATTTTAATTACCTTTTATTTGATACCCATATCAAAAAAATTATTTTTTACACCCCCCCCCCTTCAACCCTCCAGACCAAGTCATACCCATCAAGACAAAAAATGAATACTTTCAATATAAATATATTTAAATTAGCTTTTATTTGATACCCATATCGATATTTTGTGTTGATAAAAATATTCCTGACCCCCCAAGACCTAGACTCGCCCTCTATGAGTGATTATTATTATTACGATAAAAAAATATTCTAATTACCTTTTATTTGGTACCCATATTAAAAAATATTATTTTTTACACCCCCCCCCCCCCATCTACCCTCCAGACCAAGTCATACCCACCAAGACAAAAAATAATACTTTCAATCGAAAGATATTTAAATTAGCTTTTATTGATACCCATATCTATATTTTGTGTTGATAAAAATATTCCTGACCCCCCAAGACCTAGACCCGCCTTCTATGAGTGATTATTATTACTAAAATAAAAAAATATTTTAATTAACTTTTATTTGTACCCATATCAAAAAAATTGTTTTTTGCACCCACCCCCCCCCCCTCGATCTACCCCCCAGATTAAGTCATACACATCAAGACCAAGAATGAAGGCTTTCACTCATAAGATATTAAAATTAGCTATTATTTGATACCCATATCGATTTTTATTTTGATAAAAATTCCTGACCCCCCAGATCCAGACTCGCCCATTAAGGGTGAGAGATTGACCTTCAGTTGAATAGATCTTTTGATTAGCTATCGATTGACACCTATATTAGACATATCTTATTTAATAAGGCCCCAAGAAAAACAACATTGAAAATAAACAAATAACAATTAATTTTAAAAAAAATAAAGCAAAATGCGCGTAAAACGCGTTTTAAATTAAGATTCTTCTATATCATGGTTCAAACGTGATAATACCGTATAGTTCTTTATCCTTTAAAAAATTGAATTCTTAAAGGGATCCCTTTAAAACCCGTGATGATCCTGAATAGTTCTGATCCCTTTAAAAATTACGACAGATTTGATATTTATTGTGGGATGTACCCATATTTTATATCGGATCGGGCCGATATTTCGCCCGTGATAAAATATCGGTCATCGGCAAATATTATAAAATTTTCCGATCCGATATAAAATGGCGCTTTTAACAAAATTTAAAAAAAGTTAAAACCATTTATTTTTATAAATAAAATCGAAATATATTTTTTATGTTTAATTTTTTTAATAATAATAATAAGTTAATAAATATTCTGCAATATAGTTATTTTTTTCCGAATTCTGTTTAAAATCTCTTCAGAATCTGTTTTTAGTGATGCTAGTAATATTAACAGTCCCCATCACCGCAAACCGATCTCTGATAAATTGGAAATTTTGGTATTTCTAAAAAGAAATCATCGATATATTAATTTTAAATATTAATTTCAAATTTCATAATATATTTGTTTATTACTAATTATGTAAATAGATTAATGTTATTACTTATATAAATATATCCAATTGAATTGAAATAAAGTATAAATTATTATTATAATATATTTAAATGACATATGTTATGGTATAGTTAAATTATAGATGTTGTACTAATAAAAAGTATATTAAAAATTAAAATCGGTATCTTGACAATCGGATCGGTTATCGGCCGATATCAATTTAATATCGGATCGACCTTTAAAAAGTGCTATCGGTACACCCCTAATTGTAACATTAACAAACAATACTTGTAACTAATATTGCTTTTATAGGTAAATTTTAACAGTAACAAATTAAATATATAAGAATTTATCACTAAAATATTTAAAATGGAAAATTCCATTTTTATTTTATAGTCAAAGCTTGTTTATAAATTTAGATTAATCTAGGCCAAAAGTTCAAAACACTCTTTTAAAGCTGCTATTGATTTATTAGGATTATTTTTGTATCACCGGCAAATATTTTATTAAGTATTGTATTATTAAACGGCTCGATTTTTAAAAAAGGCGAATCCAATATTTTTGCTAAAAAATATTACACAAATCTAGAGATTTGGTAATAGATGTCCAAACCACTTCTGGTTTCTATGAACAAAATGTCCAGGCCTGCACAATACTTTTTTTGCTAAAATACTGGGCTAGCCATTTGACAAAAGTAATTATTTTAGAAACTCCATAACTCAAGATTGTACGGGATATTATTTAATATGGAAGGCAGAAATCTGCAAAGCCCGGTCCGTTAAGATTTTTTGCACATGTTGCCTTGCCTTGCCCCTTATTTAAATGTTGTCTAGCCCGCTCGGCTCGATAATATTTTTAAAAAAATTTACCGTCCCGTTAAAATCTTACGAAAAGTCAGGTCCAGCCCGTTAAAATATGAAAAGGCCTGCCCAGCCAGCAGTCTAAATTTTTTTCTCCAATATGAGCAATTTTTGCTGGCAAATATTTTGAAGAAGAATATCATTTGCTTACCTCCTTATTTTTTGAACTTTTTGATTATATTTTATTTTTTATATAACTTTGGTTTAACTTTTATTTATTCATTGTCTATTTGTAAAATTTAAAATTTTTTTATTTTTCATGTATTTAAATAAAAAATATTTAAGCATAGATCTTTAATTTAAATAAAGATATCACCTTAATAAGATGATTTTCAAATTTTAGAATCCCGAAATTTGAATTTTTGGTAATATAAAACCAACCTTTAAAAAAAAATGTCAATGATTTGAAAACGTCCTGATAATTTTTGATAATATAATATTAGCCGGTGGTAGAGGATGGCAAAGTGGATCTGATTTTTAGCCCGAGCCAACGAAACTTGGGCCTTAAACCTTAATTAAGGACTTGAATAATATATTAAAGAATCTAAAAAATAATATAGAAAATGATGTTTACACTACTTTAAACAAAATAAGAATTATAATTTTTCGGCGATAAGGACAAAGCAATATGTGATATTTCTTTCATTTATCTTCATAAAAATATTTTAATATATACATCTTTCACTTAAAAATTCCGGGCTCGGGCTTAATAAAGTATTTTGGGCTCGCTCAGGCTTAAAAAAATAGCAGTCTGGGCTCAGGCCTGAGAAAATTGAGGTGGCAGACCTGGCAGTAACTTTGAAGGGATTAAAGACTTGAGTTAATTATTTTAAAATATTTTTAATAATCGTCACTGGATTCAAAAATATTCCTTATAATAAAATTTTATAAAACAAGGTTAATGTGTGTAAATAAAGAATTTTACAAATGGAACACACTGGAAATTTATTAATAATTTCTAACAATTCATTTTTTTTAAATTAATTTTTCTTTTTTTAAAAATTAGGTTGGTTCAAAGGGTTATCCAAGATGTTTATCAATTTACCTATACCCAAATTACTAATTCTCGCAGGTAATTGTTTTCATTTAAAAAAAAAAATTAAAATTCAGTGATGACCAGAGTTAGCAATAAATCTTCAAATTTTTATTTCTTTTTAAACATATAGTACATTTCCTTTCGAATTTTTATGTCCTTCATACAAAAAAAACCTATTGCTCTCAACTTAGAGAAACTGAGGACCAATGAGTTGTGCAATCCAATATTGTCATTGGCTTTTTCATTGATCTTAATATTCCAACAATCGTGGTGTTTAAATATTTTACAACGTCCCTCTTTCTCTATAATAGTTTTAATGCCGTTATTTTTCACGGCATCGTTATTGGCTAATTGAAAAGTATGGGCTGCACGCCTGATGCAATATATATTGGTGGATAAATTTTCCTATCGAATTTTAAATGATTTTATAAGATTCACACCATTATAATAATTGTATAAACATGTTTTATATAGGTTCTTCTTATATATTAAGTTGCACTCTCTTTAACCTCCTTCATAGCTAAATTTATTAATATTATATTAGTTCCTTTAACATTTTAGATATCTATTCTTATAACCCTCCCCCCCCCCCCAGATTTTTTGGACTATCAAAATTAATATATTCCTTGTTTGTCTTATTATTATTTTTTGACTCCTCTACTACTATGTCTTAGGTAATATTTGTTTGGCTAAAATCTTATCGAGGTTTTAAATTTTAATACATTTATTTTGCATCTGTGAAAAAATTGGATATCTGTATCTCTAATTTAATTTATTTCTTCCTTTAAAAAAATATAAGTATTTCATTATTTTATAAAACGTACACAGGGGTCGATCATTTGGACAAAGAGTTAACCATAGCGCAAATGCAAGGTATTATCAAAAACAATTTTTTTTAAAAAAATAATTAAATATGCCTTTTGATTATCATCTATGGCACCAGTTCCATAGTAAATTGAATTCTTTGTATATCTGGTTTGCCCATTGACATTAATTCTAATACTGATCTTGACTGACTATTCATTCATTAAAAGATGTACATATATAAAAGTGCGAAATATGAATTTTCTCAAAAGTGTCTCCTACAGGTTCCTTCAATATATGTACACTTTTAATATAAATCAAAATATATGATTATACGAATAAACTATACTTTTTAATAAGTTCGTATTCCAATATGGTGACCAAGAACAATTTTAAAATAATTTCGTCAGATAATATAAAATTAGATATAAAGAAATTGAAACTTATATTCGATATAATGATAAAGTTAAAAAATGAATTGTCTTATGAAGAATTAAAAATATTTATTCTGGAAGGTGTGCCCAAAAAAAATCATGTATCGCACATATTAGGAAGTTATTTAATGCTAAGCCAGAAAAATATGAAACGCCGGCAGAATTTCTTTGGAAAGAATTAAATTATTAGTTTTGGATTTGCCATCGCTTAAAGATGTAATCGTTTTTTTCCCCTTTTTATAGCAAACTGGTCTGATAGCAACATTACAAATCGATTAGAGGATTCTGCAGAGTTCAATTTAAAAAATATTGAACAGATTGCTAAAGAATTAAATGATAGATACTTAATAATTTACAATCAACATACAAATCCGAAATATTCCGACTATGATGGAAATTGAATTTAAAAAAAACCCTCGATGCCTATATGGTACTTTACTGGTACTAGCGTATCCGTAACATACAGTTTCAAATTATAATAATATTGATATTTATCAATATAGTAAACATCTAACAATCAACATTTTTACGTTCAATAATAAAATTACAATCGGGACGAAATCATAACTATTGCAACTAATCGTTAATATTTGTTGATGTCTCAAAAGGTATTATAAATATGGACCGATGCAATTATGGAAATGAGTAATATATTAAATTTATAATGGATCTAATCAAAACAACACTTTCACAATATTGTACAATTGCATTACTTTTATATATTTATTTTGGTTAAATAAGGTGTTAATGGGAGGTGTACAAACATAAAAGTTTATTATATTTTTTTTTAGTTGAGAGGATGCTAAGACACTTAGCCATAATTTAATTTAGGCTTAATGTCTGATGATGTCAGATAATATATAGGCTTAAATATAATTATTATAAGCTTAATATCTGATTATGTATAGGCCCAGCATTATGGTAAGTGTCTAGGTATCATATTTTATATTCATCTTATAAAACACATTTGGAAATCTCTGTTTGATTTCAATATCTAGTGTTTCTGTTATTAAATAACGTTGAACATGTGCTATCCAAACAGTCATGAATTTGATGAGAAATTTATAAATAATTATGTAATAAATTATACAATTTTAAAAATATTTGCCCGGAGATGTTATACAATATCATACTCGTCAGGGTATGATGTTTAATTTTGTTATCAATTTGTATTTAGTTTTTATAATAATGTCACTTAGATATATGATATATAAAAAGTTTTATATTTGATCGAAAATATAGTTTTTTTTCCCCGTGACCATCTTATATATTTGACCATAATTAATTATTATTCCCTCTACCCATTCTAACTACCTATTATATATCTATATATGTTATATACATTATTTGGGATTCTATTGGATTATCTCATTTTTATACCTTTTAATGAGTTCATATTCCAACATGATAGCCAAGATAAAAATTTGAAATAATTCCTTTTAGATAACATAAAATTACATATAAAGAAATTGGAAGTTATGTTCGAAATAATTAATGATAAAGATAAAAAATTTTATTTACTTAAAACACTGAAGAAACCGCTATCAAAATGATAGTCATAATGGATGAATTGTCATATGAAGAATTAAAAATATTTATTCTGGAAAGAGTGCCCAATTTTTCTTGGTCACCATGTTGTAATACGAACTTAAAAATATATAATAATGAGATTTATTCATATATATTTCTACGTACTAAATAATGGGATAATTTGTTAAAATTTCATATAATGTAGTATAGTGATATATTTCTATCATTTATATGGATAATATTATAGGTGGTGGGTAGAATAGGACAAAGGAATAATAATTTATAGTAGAATATATAACGCTAAATTCACAATTAGTAAAGAGATGATTTTCTCAATCATAACAAGTTTATTGGGAGTTAGTCAGCATTAGTATTAATGTAATTAGGTTTGTCTAAACTAAATATATTTATTTTATCTTTACTTTAAGATTAAGATGAATGACGTAACTGCATCGAAGGGGGTAGATATCACATGAGTACCCCCCCCCCCCTGTTGAGTTTAATTAAGGTTTATCGTTTTCTAGCTTTAGAATTTTTGGCCTTATAAATCTTTTATATTAATTATAAAATATTCTATATTTTATAAGCCATACAATTTCTATTTGTTCGCTAAGTTTTATTGTTTTTTTTTGACTGATTTAGTTTTGCTAAAATCTTCAAACTTTATTCTTTGTTTCGATAATTATTTTATTAAATTTAAATAAATCCAAAATCAGGTAAATTTCAGATGGTAATACTTTCCAGATGCGGTCATTCCGTGCACGAGGATTTACCAGACGAAGTAGCTGGAGTTGTTGCTAGCTTTTTAGCCAAACATAAAATGGTCGTTTTAGCTAATCCTAACATGGCTTCGTAAAAAATCAAATATTACAATTACATACCGGTTAGGCTTGTTAATTGATCCTTTAATAGAATCGAATCACGATCTTTTCAACAAAAAAAGGATATTTTTTATCATAATATTTTAATTTTATTTATATACTTTTTAAGTTAAAAAAAATAAATTATTAAAAGGATCGAATATTAAACAAAATTGATCTCGATCACCATCCTCAATCTAAGAAAAAATCATTAATCCTGGTAAATTGCCAAAATTAATATCGAATCCAGAATCGTCGATCATTTAACAACTCTGATATCATCTTTTTTATTTTAAAATGGGAGAATTTTTAGTCTATTGGTGGTTACAAAAAAAGAATTAAAACGATTTAAGTTAACAAGCTATAAAGTTCTCACCTTGACTTGCCAGTACTTGTGTTTTATAGTTTTCTTATAAAATTAATAATTAAAGTGATATACTAAAAGGTATGCTAATTTACCTATAGCCGTATCTTTTCATTCTAGTGTAAATTTAATAGCAGCTAAAGCGTCAATCTACTAAATTTAATAGCAAATGAGTTAATGTTAAAGAAATAAGCAAATATAATAAGAAATTGATAAATTTAATAAATGTAATATAGCATAAATATGAGAATTTAATCCCAAATGCGTAAATGTAATACTAATTAGAGATCTGCAAAACGGACTTGGCCTATTTTTTAAAAAAAATTCGGGCCTGGCCGGTCTTGAAAAATAGCCAGATGCAGATCACTAATACTACGCTAATTTAATATTAAAGATATGATAGAATTTAAACAGCAAGTATCAATAAGATTTGAAACAAAATGAAGATAATATTATCTTACTTTTCATAACATAAAAATTTGCTATCAATTTATAATATTGTTTTTTTTGGTCATAATATATTTAAAATGAAAATTATAAAAAAACTAATGCCTAAATTTCGTTAATTTTAAGAAACAATACATGCATAAAATGCAGGGACATGAACCATTATTTTATAACGGTTCAATATGTAAAAAATTATAATGGTTAGGTTCGGTTACGGTTCTTAAGAAAAAATTTATAAAGTTTCGGTTCGGTTCAGCTAATTGTAAAGATTTATTAAGGTTCATTACGGTTAGAAATTTTTTTTTAAATTATTTTTATTGAAGAAACATTATCGTATAATGATTTTAATTATGAATATTATTTATTAAAATTATTGCCATTACTTAAGTTAATATATTGTTTATTATATGAAATGAATTTATTTTTATTATAAGCATCTATGAATAATATATAAGAATCATAACTCATTTCTGAATATATTATTTGAACATATAAGTAATAAATTTTCTAATATAAGTTGATTCATATTTGTACGTTGTGACGATAACACAAATTTTAGCCCAAAAAGGCCCTTTTAAGAAATTGTTATTCTGGAAACACAAGTACTATGCAAGTTTATAAAATTTTTTTGATTTCCAATATATAAAAACTGATGTTTTTCTATATTAATTAAATGCAATTAAATCAAAAATTGGTTATTTAGATATGTTGATACTAAAATATAGGAAATGGACTAATACTGCAGTTAAAAGATTATGTAATTTAAGTCATAGTGTAAAATTAATTTGTACTTCTTTTGGATATTAAACAAATACTTTGATCATTTTATAATTACAAATAACGACGCAGACATGGTAAAATATGTAATACACCACAAGGTTAAAAAATGTAAAATTATATATTTTATTTTGGCTAAACCCGGTTCAAACAGGTTTAATTTTTTTATAAAGGTTCTTTTTACTCCTACAAAAAATAATTATGTCTGTTCGGTTACGGTTCCGATATTTATAACGATTTAGCGATTTATTCTAGTTCACTACGGGTCCCTGATAAAATGTACAAAGTAGATTAATTACAAAGAGGAATATGGTCTTAATTGCATATATTGTCAAGACATATACAAGGCATGCAACGATTCTTCTTCTTCTCCGTTTTATGGCGATTTTCAGGTTTACCCGAGTAGGCCAGTTTTCCCTCTGATTTTTCTTTTCCATTTTTGACGGTCCTGAGCATCAATACTTGTAAGATTCATGCTTCTCATATCCGCCGCTATCACATTTGTCCACGTCATCTTGGGTCTTCCTCTAGGTCTTGATCCTCCTACTTCCATCATTGTGCATCTCTTTACCCAGTTATCTCTTGTCATACTCACATGCCCAAACCATCTTAGTATATTTCGTCGCATTACCATACCAATCATTTCTATACCTAATCTTGCTCGCAATTCCTTGCTAGTTTTTCTCTCTCTCAGAGTTACCCCACACATCCATCTAACCATCCTCATCTCTGTTCTTTCTATTTTGGCTTCGTGAGTCGCTTTCATTGCCTATGTTTCACCGCCATAAACTAAACAACTCCTCACACAGCTTACGTAAACTTTATCCTTTAACATCAGAGAAACTTTTTATTTGTAAGAATAGACGACATCTCTCTGAACTTCTTCCAAGCTTGTCTGATCCTTGCAACAACGGCAGAATCTACACCACCATCTGGGTTTAGCATATCATCTAAATAACAAAACATATCCACTTTTTCTAAGGTTAACCCATTGCCAATATCCAGGTCACCATTTTTTAGGTTATCATTATTAGGTATCCCTTTCATGCATGTTCTATAAATAAGGGTCTAACATCAAACTGCCTTTTTTCCCGCTACATCTTTTATGTACCCATTTCTGGCATCTGGTGCATTGGATAGAATTTCTAGCAACTCCTTTCCCACATACACCACAAGGCCACTTACCGGATTCCTCCATCTTTAGATTTTCCCCACCAATCATCACCTTTGTTTTTGATGCATTCATTTTCAGGCCCTTTGCTTCCATAGTCATCTTCCATTTACTAACTTTATCCCTCAATTCTCCCTCACTGTTTGGCATTAATACAAGGTCATCTGCATATACTCCCATGGAAGTCCTTCACGCATTTCTCTAGCCACCACATCCATTACTAATATACTCCCATGGAAGTCCTTCACGCATTTCTCTAGCCACCACATCCATTACTAAGATAAATAATAATGGACTAAGCACGGATCCTTGATGAAGTCCTACCTTCACCTCAAAGCTGTCACTATCACCATAATCTGTCCGTACTCCTGTTTGTGCTCCAACATACATTGCCACCACTGCGGTAACCAACCATTCCTCCACACCTGATTTTCTCAAGGCCCATCTAGTAATCTCACGCGGCACCCTATCAAATGCTTTCTCCAAATCAACAAACGCATAATAGAGTTTCTTTTCCTTCGCAAGATACTTCTCCTGAATTTGTCTCCCCTGATGTTTTGTTCCCTTAACCGCTTCTCTAACACTCTCTTAAATACTTTCATTGCATGTTCCAATAGTTTAATAGCTCTGTAAGACCAGCAATCTAAAGGATCACCTTTCCCCTTGTATACTGGGATAATTATACTTCTTCGCCAGTCCTCGGGAATAGTACCTTCTGTGACAATTTGATTTGCTAAATTCATTAACCATTCAATCCCTGAGAAGAGAAGAGAAGATCAGAACCTTTAAACATCTCTGATACCACCATCGTTAAACCCGATGCCTTTCCTTTCTTCATCTTTTTCACTGCTCTCTTTATCTCGTCCTTGCCAAATTTACACCCTGGACCTTCTACCTTTGCACAACTAATATTATTATTCCATTCATTTTCTTCATTCAAAAGTCCTTTCATGTAAATCTTCCAGGTGTTCTTAATACCACTACTATCAATCGTCATTTTTCCTTCCATATTTTTCAAACACTTTAATCCTGCCTCTTTTTTGACATCTGTTTTGCCATTCTAACCATATTTCCAATTCCATCAGCGCATTCCATTTCTTTAGCAAACTCGTGTCTTTTTTCTTCTTGAGCCTTCGCTATTAATTTCTTAGCATTTCTTTTAGCCATCTTGTAAATATCATTATCACTATTTTCTTTGCTATTATACCATACTTTGAAACACCTCCGTTTCTCATCCACGGTTTTCGCTACCTCCGGATTCCACCACCAAGTCTCCTTATGCCTAGGCCGCCCTTTTGTCCATCCACATACCTCCTCAGTTGTCATTACCCAGGCTTTCTTCATGGCTTCCCACTTGTCATTCACCCCAGATGCTTGTGCCACCTCCGCCTCCCTAATCGCCAATGCCATATTGAATTGACGTCTAGCACTCTCCTCCTTCAATTTACAAACCTTCAGCCTTGGGACAAACTTTCTTTTAGTGACCCTGGCACCTTTAAGAGTGAGATCTCCTACAACTAGTCGATGCTGATTTATACATTCCTCTCCCGGTATCACTTTCACATTTTTACTATACATCGATCACATCTCCTTAATAACAAGTAATCCACTGCACTTTTGGTACTACCCGACTTATAAGTCACCAGCTTCTCTGATTCTTTCTTAAACATTGTATTACAGACAATCATATCCATAGCATCACTAAAATCTAAAATCCTCTCTCCTTCTAAATTTCTCATGCCGTAACTGAATCCTCCATGTACTCCTTCATAACCCTCACTACTCGCTCCCACATGTCCATTCAGATCACCTACCAGGATAATCCCCTCTTCATTTGCCAGTCTCGATGTCACCCCCAATAGACTGTCCCAAAATATATCTTTCACTTCTTTCAACCTGAGGAACATATGCCGAGATAATATTATATAGCTTTCTACCAAAAATCATCTTGATAACCATTATCTGGTTGTCTAGCCTTCTCACTTCAACTACTTTGTCTACCAATTTCTCCGCAACCAATACCCCAACTCCAGCCTTACCATCATTACCTCCTGCTAAAAGAATTTATACTTTTCGCTAGTCTTGCCAATCATTCTGGTCCCATTTCCTTTCCATCTAGTCTCCTGTACGCAGCACACATCTATATGTCTTCTGTGCAATACATCGACGACTTCTCCCGCTCTTCCCGTCATACTCCCAACATTCCATGTCGCGACCCTAACTAGATCACCCGTAAACTAACGATTAATTCAATAATAAACCTACTCTTGCGAGGACTCTATTACCAAACATCTGGAGCTTAATTTATCCACAGGGGGTGGGTAAACTTCAATACCTTGGTCTTAGGCAAATATTTATTCTACTTCACATGGTCTCTATTCTATAAAGTGTTAATTCGAATCTGCTTGATATTGCCTAGAACAAAAAAAGATGTTCTAAATGTACTAATTATGTTTTTATACCTATCTTTATCTCATCCCTTAGACATGTGTCAAGCGTAACTTTAATTTTTTAAAAAAATTTTTATACCACAATATCGGCCAGTCATAACCCGAATAATTTTTTTTGCTAAAAAAATACGAATTATTTTTTTAAAATATTTATGCCTGTTTTTTGGGAATATACCCCACTTTTATTTTTACTGAATGACAGTTTTTTTTATATAAAATTCAATGAACTTTCTCAATAATAATTTCAGCCATAGATCCCATGCATAAGTATCGAGTGTATTCGATTTTGCCACACCATTTATTCTTGATGTCATTATTTTATACAGGTTTATCAAAATTTTAAATGATTCAAATTCAATTGATCTACAATAGATATACTGAACTCCCTGAACCTGCTCTTGCCTCTTTTACAACTTATACATATGAAAATAAGGGTGATCTTATTTATTATTCTAATGGCCACCAAATTAGATCGCGAGATAGCAGTCATTCCAGTGGAATACGATTTGGAGAGAACAATAATAATTATAATGAATGGAAATAATGACGCCTACAAATGGTGAAAAAAAATTAATCTTCTCCTTAAGATTCTATCTGAAATCTCCACTTAATCTTTTTGAATTATTCATCGAATATAAAAACAATGATATCAAAAAATATAAAAGGTTTTATCATTTTATATTAATGTGATAATTTGAATAAAAATAAATTATTATATGTGTGCTAGAAATACAATTATTATTTAAAATGAGAATTTGAAAAGATATCTATTTCTCACACCCTGGAACAAGATAACACGCACCGCCTATCACCGCTGGAATAAGATTTAAGGCAGATAATATATACAAATATTAAACAAAACATCAATTTTAGCATCATATTGTCTTAATATTATTGCTTTATTTATAAGTTTTTTTTGAGGGAACCTTTTAAAACTTTTTACTTGTTTTTGATAGATATGATTTAGGGTTATAACTACTTATAAAATTTGTGTCAATCAAATTTTAAATACCTTTTTATTGTGTGATTTTGAAAATTTGCGAAATAATGGTGATCGTACTGTGGAGATTTGGATGTTTAGACTTACGAAGTCTTAATCTATTTAACGGGATTATCTGATAAATAAATAATCTAAAAGCATCGAGGATAGAATTAAAGAGAACAAGAATTTATTATGAATGATAGATGACATGGGATTATTATTTATAGTATTTTATGGTGATTCAAATTTCAAAGAGGTGGACAAAAATTTAATTGTGCAGGCAAAAATTAATTTTCGGATCCATTTAGCAGATCTCTAGAATAGAGCGTAGAGCCCAGCAGGGCCAAGCCATTCGTAAAATTAATAAAATATAGGCCCAACCCGTGGCACAAAAAATATAAATTTTATACCCTTCTTATTCTTCCTAAAATGAATATTTTAAAAAAAATTGATATTATATTTTGTAATAAATAGAATATTCTCAAATGAATAAGCCTTATTAAAAGTTATTAGTGCTACTAAATAACGCGTAACATTAAAATAGAGAATAAATAAATATTTCGAGATTTTTCCTTATAAGCTTTTATTGGAAAATTCAGGCCACAACAAGGCGAGTCTAGATTTAAAAAAAAATTGTTACCAGGCCGCGTTCAGGCCGGACATTATCGATTTTGAAGACCATTAATAGAGTTGGTACAAGGATGGATAGCTAAGAATATATAAGTTATAAAATTTGGAATAGAATATTTTTAATGTAATATAATTTTAATAAAGCAAGTTACTCTTTTTTATTTATAGATTCGAGCCGACTTGTTAACCCAAATAACTGGAATCAATGACTTCACTCAAATAAATTGTACTATGTAAATTAGTTATAATTATAACAGCACAACATGATCATATGTTATTATAGAAATATAGCGTATAGTATTTATTAAGCAGTTTTTTTTAGTTGTATCAATAACTTTTTATTGTGTCTATTCGCAATATTTATTTTTAAACAAAATATATATTTTTTTAAATGTAATATGATTATTGTCAACTAATTTATATGTTAGCATCAACGTGTTTTTTCCGGCAATGTGTTATTTTTTCAACTATATATCATTTTTTAAGCGCGATTTTAAAAATTTAAAAATCTAATTTTACCAGAAATGTATGCCCTCGTGTTTGGAATACCTACCCTATCAATTTCAGACAATTTTTCCATAAACTTTTGAACTTAATATAATTTATATAAAATTTTCCATATATTTTTTATAAATGACTCAGTTAGCAGCAAAATTGTCTACAATTCATAAGATAGGTATTCCATGTTATATTTGAATGTTAATATATTTTTTAAAAGGTTACGCTATTTGAATTATATAACTTTCTTACATTTAATATTATCTTATGGAGGTCAATGTATTCATATTAGTAGAAGTTAAATTGGATAATTATATAAATGTATATATACCAAAAGAATTACAAATAAAATTCATTATCGTTTTTTAAACTTTAATCGATTTAATATTTGGCGACGAGGAAAAAGGTCGCGCGGTTTTCGGTCTTCGGTCAAGTTAAATATTATATAGAATTATAATCGGGGAACTATGTTTACGATACCCAGATACTAAAGACGAAGACCAACCGTTAAACTTAAACAAAATTATAGAATTTAAGATATAAAGGGCACCTCTCAAAAGGATTGATGCAGCCTATTAAGATTTCCATGGATTATAGAATTTATGATAATGATAAAGGGCACTATCAAAATGTTTGATGCAGCCTATTTAGATTTCCATGGATTATAGAATTTATGATAAAGGCACGATGCAGCCTATTTATGGATTATGATAATGATAAAGGGCACTATCAAAATAATTTATAATAAATATTTGGGCAGAAAGAATCCATGTTGCTGAAATATGCTTTAGCTTCAACATTTTTATTTTTTAAAAAAATTTCCTCTTATAATCTAAAAAAAATAATATATTATCAATAAGATCACATTTTCCCAGATTTTTTTTAAAAAGAATTCTTTATGCATTTTTAAAATTAAATTTATGATGGAAGATAAAAAAAATCAAGTTTGCAAATTTTATCAAATTGGTAAAACTAAATTATGATTTCATGCAGTTAAACGGCTCAATTTGAGACCATTTAAAAACGGCTAACTCAATATTTTATCCAGAAGAATATTTTGCTCATATATGGCACAAAGGTTTGGACATCTATTAGATATCTCTAGGCTTGTATTATTTTCTGGTTAAAATATTTAGTTAGCAAATCATTATATAGGTTTTCAAATGAATTTATATCATCTTTAATCGTTTTGTAAATTAAAATATTATATACCACCACATGTGAATTTTTATAACTATCTATAAACCTACAAAATAACAGTTACATAATAATTTTAAAAAATAATATATTATAATAAAATAAGATGCCATCTAGCTGTTACGTTTCTATAGCATTTTTAAAACTTCATGAAACCTCATAAATATAAAATCATCTTTGTTTTCCTAATTAAATTAGTTTTAATGTATGCGTCATTATTTAATTTTTGAACCAAAAATTTTTTTTAAATTTATTTAAAATAAATAAATTATGATAAAACAATGAAGGCAGTGAGAAAACTATAAATTAAATTACTTTTTTATTTATCTAAATTTTGTAAAATTGTTTATGAATTTCAAAATATAACTGCATATGTATAATTTATAAAATGAAAAATATATAATTAGTATTAGTGCTGTGAAGTAACGTCGTAAAGGTAACGAGTAACGGTAACGCGTTTCTTTTTTTGAGTAACGGTAACGCAAAACGTTACTTAACTCGTTACTTTATATTTTTTCTTAAAAAATATCAATAAAAAGAAAAAACATATTTTTTTGTATTATAAAATTACTTATTATTTATTTTAATTCTTAATATTAATAATTTAAGCCGAGTTTTAATTCATATCAACCACTTCCAACATTTTTTTTAAAATTCTCGTTAAATTATCAGTCGAAATTAATATTCAATCAAAATTCAAAGTAAATATAATATTATAATTAATTTATAATATATTTTAAAAGAATATTATGTCCATAGTACTTACTTCTTCAGATGTAGAAGATTTAACCCTTCCCTGACCCGAATTTGAATTATATTTTAAACCAATTAAGAAAATTAATGGTACCTGGTCTACACTTTGTAAATGTAAATTATGTCCCAATGCAAATATTTCAACGTCATTGTCAAGTTCAAACTTAAAAAAACATTTGAAGGTAAAGAATGAATTAATATATAATTATTTTAAACATAAAAACTTAATCATAAAATGATTTTAAAAAAATTTATTTAAATTTCATTATAGATTTTATTATTAATACTATATATATAGCATCTTATTATTTAACCATGTATTTATTTTAAAGATAGTAAACAATAAAATAATTTCGAAATGTATAAATTTTATACAGATTATTATATTAAAAATTTATTATATTAAAAATTTATTATATTAAAAATTTATTATATTAAAAATTTATTATATTAAAAATTTATTATATATAAATAAAATTTCAGTATTCTTGTTATTCATAATGGTATTTAAAAAAATATATGTATCATATCAGTAAATATTCAAATATAGTAACCCATGACCGGAAAAAAAAAATTTAACAATAACTAATACAAATGAGTATATTATCAAAATATAAATAACTTTTATTGCAAATGCAAGCAGTAAAAAAAAAACCAATCAACACACACTCATTGAGATGCAGAATTCATCTATGTCAAAGACAAAAATGGCCTAATTAACTGTTTGAATTAGTTTTTAATTGAGGAATTACAACCATTTTCAATTGTAGAAATCACTGCTTTTATTAATATTATCAAAAAAATTTAGCCATCTAAAAATGTGATGTCTAGGCCTACTCTCATATTAAAAATTAACAAAGCATATGACACCATGACAAAGAGATTAGTGGATTTATTGTGTATCCCAAAAATTGTCTGTACAACTGTGGATTCTTGGTCAGCTTATCATCGGTATATAAAAATATATATTCTATAGATTGATAAAATTGTCTTTTAAAAAAGTTCTTAGTTAGGGATGACGGTACACTGGTTACACCCAGACACTCTTGAGAGGGTTTCAGCCTGCTTAGGTTGTAGAAGGCTAAACCCAAAACATACATATGATTATCTAGCAAAAATAATCTTTGAAATTTTTACCATATATAAGATACAAAATAAAGTGACCAAATGCATTACCGATAATGCTAGAAATTATTTAAAAGCCTTAGTAAAAAAAATTATATAATATATTTATTAAAAATTTATTAGAGTATATGAATAAGGAGAGGAATCGGATGCCTCTGCCATTATTTGATCAAAATATTAATGATAATATTGTATACTTACCTAAGCATCATTCCTGTTCAACACACACTTTAAATCTTATTGCAAGTATTGACGCTAAAAAGGCACTCAACGATGTCCATTATAAAACCATTTCAAAAATACATTTTCTAAATGTAAGCTTTTGTGGAATAAACATGGGCAATCTTCTAACTGTGCAGCCATTTTTAAGGAAAATATGGGAAGATATTTGATTAAACCTGTTATAACAAGATGGAATTCTTTCTATAACTCTGTAAAATTAATAAATAGTCTTATTAAGGTGAATTACCAAAAATTTGATGAATCTTGCCACAAATCTGGATTACAGAGATTTTCAGATAACGATAAGTAGTTCATAGAGTATGGTTAGTGTTAATTAAATATGATATGTATATATACGATTTTATAGGTTATGGAACCTATAGCTACGGTTCTTTCAATTTTAGAGATCGAAGAAAATATGCATTTGGGATATCTCACTCCCACTATAACCATTATAATATCAAAACTTAAAAAATTGGCTTTAAATAATTTTAAGTTTTGTAAGCCGCTTATTGATTCAATCCTGGAAGCCATAGATAAAAGGTATACAGTTCAAATATTGCTTATAATTTATATTTTGACTATCATATTTTCAATAGATTCCGACACATCTATGGATGAATATATACTATCGGCAATAATTCACCCACTATTTAAATTGGATTGGCTCTGGATAAAATTAGAGGTCAATAAAGGAAGAATGCTGGAACTTTCCAGTTTGAGAAAAGATATTTGTTGGAATTGAATTAATTCCACGTTTTATCATAGATAATTATTTCACATTTTTTATTGATTATCATTTTATTTTTAATCATAATTTAAATTTTATTATATGATATATTACATTTTTATTTTTAAAGATAAATTACATTTTTTTTATCCCCTTCAACAAAAACAATTTCTCTTTATATATCTTTTTTTTAAACAATAATAAAAAAAATAACTAATACAAATTGATGTATATAAAAAATGTTATTATAAAATTTTCACCGATTAAATTTAAATACAAATTGATATATAAAAAATAAATCAATTGCCAAAATAAATAATAAAATAACATCGATCATTGATAAAGAACAGGCTTGATTCCTTTATCCAACACACACTAGAATATTTTCAGATAATGATAAAAAAAATTTTGATGATAAAATGAATGAAGATCCTTGTGAAGATGATATATTATGTAATTTTCAAAATAAAGATAATTCTCTAAATATTTTTAATAAATTCCCCGAATTGAAATTTTTGTTTATTAAATATAACACCACTCTCCCATCCTCTTCGCCAATTGAACGTGTGTTTAGCACGGCAAAAGCTGTGTTGAGTACCAAGCGCTCATGTTTATCTGATCAAAATTTTGAAAATCAATTGTTAAAAATAAATAAAAAATTGTTACATAAAGATGTTATCTTGTAATATATTATTTTTGTATAATTTTATTCATATTATAATTATATATGAAAATTTTATTATAAAAAGATCTTATCTTATATGTTCTTTTTGTATTGTTTTACTTTATTATATATTGTCGGAAAAAAATAAATATTTTTTGGATTATATATAACATTTAATCGTTACTTTTTTGAAAAGTCGATAACGCGCGTTCCTTTTATAAAATGGTAACGATTAACGGAAACGCGTTCCATTTTTCAGATGTAACGAGTGACGGTAACGCATTTCATTTTTGTAGTAACGTTTACAGCACTAATTAGTATAATTAGTAAACGATTACGAAAAAAATAATCATAACAAAAGGACAATATTGAGGCATAGATCATAAAATAATGTAAAATACAAAATAAATAAAAGCGAAATCAGCAAAATTATTCAAAACCTCCTTCAGCTAATCATCAGGAGAAATCGAATTAATAAAACAAACATAATTAGCCTTAAGAATGGCTATTACGATCCTCTGCCTTAATTAAAAACCTTGGCGAGGCTCCCCAGAATTTTTTCTGATTAGGTGGCCAACGTCTTTAAAAAAGTTTTTAGCCAAATCACCATATGTAGTTAAGGTGGAGCAAATGATGGGTATTAATATGTAATTTGAGGAATCAGTGCTGTATTTGCCTATCTTAAAATTTTGAGCTCTGTTCAGAGCGTCCTTGTTAAAATTAGAGGGGGAGTTAGTGTCCAGACAAGAGAAATCTCATATTAGAAACTTTCCTTGAGATCATGGGATACGTGTGACCCCATCAGGACGCCTACTATCGGAAAATAGAAGGCTCCTTTGAGGTAGGAAAACCAGCTGACCTAAGTGCGAGAGATATGATTTGATTGCACTTCAAGTGTCGAATTTGCCGACTGATTATGATTGCAATGTAAAGGATGCAGCGCCATATTGTTATCATCAGTATGACATTTGCTGCACTTATATGGTAATGAAAAGGTAATGTTGAGCCTGATACATAGAGCATAGCTGAGCTTATGGTTGTCCAATTCGAGTTTGAGATTGTTAGATGGAATAACATTTAAAAATTCATATCCCCGATCTTTGATAAGTTCAATATATGTGGATCTAGCCAATGGTGAGAGACTCGAAATAAGATAATCAACGAATTTTCACAAGTGGCAAATCCCAATCCTTCTGCTTTACAGAGATCGGAAATAGGATTGTGGTTGTGACGAATTTTGCCCATTCTCTCTTAACTGTATTCAAAAAAAGATCATGAACCTACAGATGTTGGTCAATTAATATACGTACCTGAAGGTGGCTAGCAATGAACGCACATATTGAGATAGACAATGGGGATCTTATACCAAGGCCCCATGTTTGGAAAGAAGTGTGGCTTGATGCCAAGCTATGTCTGTAAATTTGATATTTAAGCAGTCGCTAAGGATGACTTTTATTCTGGTTTCGAATCTCACTAAATGCTCCCTCTCTAAAAATAATGGGCTCGATCGTAAGGCATAAAGGATTTTAGGGATGTTGAAGAAATTCCGAATTAAAAAAATGGCCTTGTGAGACGAAGAATGTGTTTTAAATTTTCAAAGATATTGTCCATATCGCTAAAAAAAGACTTCACTGACTCCTCACCAATGGGAGAGCCCAAATGCGATAGATTTCTCAAGGGGACATGCTTAAAACCAAAAACGTTTTGCGGAATTGTAATAATATCACGGTACTCAGTTTTGATTTGATTAACTGCAAGTCCGGCTGTCAGTAGAAGCCTTAATAATATTGATAGCCTTTACCACTTCTGCAGATTCGCCAGAGATGACCCCATCATCAATATATCATAAGTGTAAGGGCAGCGTGCAGTCATTGTTTATTTTAGTAATCAAATCATGGATACCAAGACAAAATAATATGGAACCTAGGGGATCACCTTGCTGAATACCTTCAGAAGAGGTTATGATATGATGGCCAAATACCAAATGTGATGGTTTATTATAAGACGAGATTATGTAAAAATTGGGAAATGTTTTATAAATTGGGAATTTTTCCTTTTCTGTGAATGCTATTGTAAGCATTTGTAAAATCGATTTTTACAAGATGTTGAGCAGTTGTAGTATTTATGCAGTTGTAGTATTTTGAGCATAAATACGCATTATATGTGCAGCTGCTTCACAGCCTGAGCTCGTACCAACCCCAAATTGAAGAGGAAGAAGTATATTAGAAACTTGTGCAGAAATTCTGCTAGTTTTGATTTAAATAATTCTTCCGAAGTGAAAATCAGAGAAGGGTGGTTCTTGGTTTCATAAAGCTTCCAGTGTCAAGGGATGCTTGTCTAGTAGTCTTTGGTATGACACTGCGTCCACTGGAGCAAGTGTGTCAAAGGAGCTACATAGTCTGAGAGCATCATTTATGTCCAAATTGTTTATTTTGTTATCGATTAGCTACACCTTGAAATTTAAATCGTCCTGTTTTTTGTTGCAGGTATGAGTTATGATATTATATGGTTCATAATTAGTATTAGAAGATGCTAGTTTAATATTCCTAGTGAAAGAATTACCATTCGCAACAGGAATTTGGAAAGATTTGTGACCAAATAAAAGGAAGGCTGACCATACATCCTTAGAAGAGAAGTTCTTTAATAACCTATCAATGCATTGGGCATAATTGGAAGAAACCACTTGTCTGGCACCTCTTGAAATTCTGGAGATCAGACGAGGTTTGGGAAGGCCAAGGAATTGGTCAATGAAGGAATTAGTGATATAAATGTGTGGATTAGATTCAAGAATGTTTGAAGTTGGATTAGATTCAAGAATGTTTGAAGTTGTAATATCATCACAATTTGATGTAGATGGAATTGATAACTGTGTCAAAGGATTTAAGAGGGAACTGTGAGGGATTACTAGAAGAGGGGTAGAAGCGACAGAGCCAGAATGAGAGCATCTTTGTCCATTCACACTATGAGCCCATAAACGGCCATTTCCAAGTATTAAAATAGAATTTCTGCATTGAGAACAGATACTTCTATCCAACATAATATGTGGGTCTACTATTGGGTATTACAATCCATCAATTATCCATTAATATTTTTATTATATCTGAGAATTCATAACTGTACTTCATCATTTTTGGATGCAGGCATTTAAGATTATAATAATTATATACATTCAATCTTTCAAATTAGCATATGTTGTTCACAATGATATATATATAACATAGATTGGCGATTCATTCATTAAATGCATGATAAAAATGTCCTCATATTGCAATCAGCTGTAGCGCCATTTTGTAGTTTGGATATCCATTATTTGTCAGCATGAAATATTAATACATATATAATATTGGCAAAACTAGTCTACGAAGATAATTTATTTTGAAAAGTTTCCATTTATGATATATTATTTTTCTTATATTCTTAAATATTATGGTAAGATTATAATTTGTTTTAATTATTTCTTAGTCTAGTAAATTTTTATGAACGTAGATTAGCTGATTATACCTAAAAAAATGATTCTAAGACTAACCCTCCTTTTATTTTTTAAAATATAGTTTAACATAATTCAGTATGGACTTATAAATCATATGTTAATTTTAGGATACATACAAAACATGTCTTTTAATATCACTATCATTTATTATTTTATTTAGATAATGGGAGTGTGCTGTCTTCAGAATTGTATGGCACAATTAATTTTATATTGATGATAGATCAGTAAAATAAAAATAATGAAATAAATTAATGAACAAACTTATAGAATGTTTGATTATATGAATACAAGAAATTGTCTTGGGAAGGGATATAAAGCCCCGCTATATATAAATAATATGATTCCAGAATATCAAATTCATTTTGATATTCTGTATTCAAACCTTAAAACTTTAAGGTTAACAAATGGTGAATACGTTTATAAATCTTCAAAAAAAACATGTGTAGAGGGGCTTATTCTCTCCATGACAAGTATCCTGGAAATTGGAAAGGAGTTATTAATTGGAGAAAATCCTAAAATGAAGTATTATATTTAACTTATAACAAGAGTTATTCATTAAATTTTAATATAATAATTTTTTTAAGGTTCTTTTTAACATATAAAACATCACAAGATCATTTAGAATTATAATTTTGTAGTATTCGTAGCAGGAGTGGATTTAATGATAATCCATCAGCTTATCAACTACAATCTGCTGTTCGCACTCCATTAATGGTGAAATTAGATCCAACAATCATGGGAAATAGCATTTCCTTAGATAATACGCAAGTATTATGTTCAAATTGCAAATATTATGTTCAAATTTTCAAAATAATCATGATAATGATGTTAACATTATCAAACCTATAGCCAATCTAGTACCCATACCCACCACTTCATCTTATTATTTTAGAAACACAAACCAAACATATTCCGAAATTATTTTTATATTTAGATAATGTATCAATTATATATCGGGATATATTGTACACCAACTTATTAAAGAAAAAAATCTACATTGTGATGTTTGCATTACAGCAATGGTTAGTGATTCTTATAATGATAATAATATCAATAATATGCTAATAAATATTAAAAATAATGGGGGGGTTGGTGATAGCTTCTACTAGTATGTCCAAACTATGCAGAATATGTGAAAGTTCATTTAGAACTTATCAAAATGAAATCATACATAAAAATATTTTTAAAAAAATGGAAGTATTAATTTTTTCCAAAATAATAGGTACAAATATTTAAAAGAAATGAATTTAATATTTTTTTAATAGTCACAAATCTCTTTATCGATCTTTGTGATCATATCATTGAACATGAAATTGGGTATAGCCATTTTCAAATTCTTGTAAAATTAATTGTTCAAAAGTAACCAATTATTAGATTTTATACTATTTTTTTTAAAGATATTTAAATATTAGATTTTATCATTTTGCTGACTTAAGAAACCAGGAATTGAGAACTGGTATGTGACAGAATCTTACGAAAGCAATACAATTTAATAATTAATAATTCATATATAATAATATATATATCTTCTATTATATTTTAAAAATTATATTGTATAAGGAATGACCAGATATTAGGCATATTATAAAAATTATGATCTTATATATTATTTATGCTAATTAATTATATTAATTTTTATAGGTGAATATAATCAAAAATGACGAAAATGTACTCAAAAATAATATGAAAGTGAATTGTTGCAATATCTTTTCCTTTTCAAGGCCTATACATTTATATCATTATATACTTATTAATTATACTTTAAATAAATGATTTATATAATATAATTTATACTCAAGCAAAAAATGATATTATTACATTATGTATTTTTTGAAAAAAAATAAAAGATATTTTTTTATTTGTCATTTATAATTAAGATGAAATAATCAAAACAAAAAAATGATCAAATATGAAGAGAATCTTAATAGTATATACTTTTGGAGTTATCTTAAGTTCTTCCTTTATAATAAAATTAATAATACAAAATAAAAAAATTAACAGCACCTATTTCTCTTATTAGTAACAAAATTTGTAGATTTTATTTAATTTTATCTATACAGGTCTATTTTTTACATAAACTTATGAGTGATTATTGTTTTAAGTTATAAGCCACTATTTTACATAAAATTTAAAGTACCAGCTACTACAATAAATATAGGTGCATCTATGATATTTATTATTAAGACAGGAATCATAAAAGATTATATATGTAAAATATAAAAATAATATATTTATTATTTTTAATTAAAAGATTCTATAAATGAACATGTGTGTAACAAGATTTTTATTGAAATATCAAGTGAATTTGATAAAACTATAAAAGCTAATATTCTTGGAAATGAGGGGTGGTATTGTGGCTCTTTATATATGTATATCTTGAGTCTTATATTTTAGAATACTAATAAAATGAATTGAAGAACTTGCTAAAATCATCAGTTGAGGTGAGAATTTATTTTGTATTGATATAGATAATTTAAAAATAATGATCGAGCCATTTGATCCATATGGGTTAAAGGAATCTGGGTGGTAAAGGTTAATTGGAGATTATTTGGTGGATTTTTTGAGGGTATAATAGATAGAGGTATGGAATATTTTGCATGAAGGGTGGTATTGTGTCTTTTTAAATGTGTATATCTTGAGTCTTATATTTTAGATTACTAATAAAATGAATTGAAGAACTTGCTAAAATCATCAGTTGAGAATTTATTTTGTATTGATACCGAGAATTTAAAAATATAATAATAATAATGATGAGGCATTTGATCAACGTTCAAGCTACAAAATGGCGCTACAGCTGATTGCAATGTGAGGATGTTTTTAATGAATGAATCGCCAATCTATGTTATATATATCATTGGTTGTTCACCATTTGCCATGAATGCAGGGATTTATCAATATAATTTTATGTATTCAAACTTTCAAATTAGAAGCTATCAATTTTAAATTAGACATAATGCTATTATAATATGTGATGGTATTAGGTTATTTTAAATCTATCAATTCTCTTATATTTGGATAATGCTAATATGTATTTTAAGAATTCAATCTGTCTTGATTTCTTACCATTCTACACCACCTGTCTTGAAAGCAGGAATTTATCAGTGTAAATTTTATATGTTAAAACTTAAAAATAAGCAGCAAACAATTTTACATTATAGACATAATATAATACTATTGTAATTTGTGATGGAGTTTGATTATTTTAAAATTTAATCAAATCTCTTGTAATTAAATAATGCTAATACATGTATTCCAAGAATTTAATAATTATCATCTGATTTTGAATTTATAGATATACAGAAACATAAACTAAAAGTTTACAAATATCATTAAACTATAATCCTGAAATGATAATATCAATTATCAGCTGATTTTGAATTCATAGCTAAATTAAATACTCCTAAAATGATAATATAAAAAATTATCAACTTAATTTTAATTTATAGCCATACAAAGTTACAAAGGCAAACACCTTTATCAAAATATGGAAGTAATAATTTGCCTTTATGGTATCGGGCCGATCCGTTTGTCTGTCTTTTGTCATTATACCATTTCGTTTCAATTTATCGAAAAATTTCATCTAATTTTCTCCACGCTTCTTTTAGAAAAATTTCAATAACCTATTTACTTTGACCACAACATGCAATGGTAAATTATTTAATATACATTATGTGATTTATTGTTTTCTAGATGTTTGCAAATATTTGACTGCAAGAAGAGAAATCTAATTTTCTCCATGCTTCAATTTTTAGAAAAATTTCATCTAATTTTCTCTACTCTGTAAATGATACCTTCCTCATTCTCCACTCTGTAAATGATACCTTCCTCATATAGAAGGTCAAAATATTATAAAAACAAAATATATTTTACCTATAATTCACCCACCTGCAATGGAAAAGGTTACAGTGTAAATAACCTATTTACTTTGACCACAGCATGCAATGGTAAATTATTTAATATACATTATGTGATTTATTGTTTTCTAGATGTTTGCAAATATTTGACTGCAAGAAGAGAAAGTTTTTACAAAATAACATAAAATATTATACTTTAAATTTAAATAATTAATCAAAATTTTGTTAATATATTTTCTTTTAAATTTTATTAAAAATAGTTTATCTAAATTATGATATAATATTACACTTTAAATTTTTTTAAAATAATTAATCAAAATTTTGTTAATATATTTGCTTTTAAATTTTATTAAAAATAGTTTATCTAAATTATGATATAATATTATCCTTTAACTTTAATATAAATAACAAATTTTTTTTAAATAAATTTTTCCTTAAGTATCTGGCATTCTGGCTGGTGATGGAGACAGAAATGTGGTGATATCTGGGGTCTTTTTGGAAGAAGATCAAGAACCCGTTTCTTCCAATCTCAATCAAGTGCAAGAGGCTGGGGAGAGTGTTGGAGGAAGTATTTTACAAAATAACATTATACTTTAAATTTTTTTAAAATAATTAATCAAAATTTTGGGGAATGACTAAAATACGCGTCCCCAAAAACTACGCGTCCCTACGCGTCCCCGGTCAAAACGATTTATTTTTATTAATATTAATAGGAAATCTTATTAAGCTTTATAAGATGAGTTAGAAAATGTTTTTTTTAATTTAAAAAAAATACGGTAACTATATAAAATTTACAAAAATTTATTTTTTTAAAAAATAAACTACGCGTCCCCGGTCAAAATACAGTTTTTTTTAAAAAATCAAAACGGATTCATATTTAGCTTATTAAAAGAATACAGAATATGTAAATATTATATTTTAAACTATTTTATAACTTAGTGATTTTTTCAAAAAACACTTTTTTTTCAAAACACTACGCGTCCCCTGTCAAAAAACCTTTTTTTTTAAAAAATAATAGCAGATTCATGTTTAACTTTTTAAGGAGATTCAGAAAATGGTATTAATAAAAAAAAAATTTTTAAAAAAATTTTTTCCAAAAAAATTTTTTTTTGGCTAAACTACGTCCCTACGCGTCCCCGGTTAAAAAACCGTTTTTTTAAAAAAATAAAAGCAGATTCATGTTTAGCTTTTTAAGGAGATTCAGAAAATGGTATTAATAAAAAAAAATTTAAAAAGAAATTTTTTCCAAAAAAATTTTTTTTTGGCTAAACTACGCGTCCCTACGCGTCCCCGGTCAAAATACAGTTTTTTTAAAAAAATCAAAACGGATTCATATTTAGCTCATTAAAAGAATACAGAATATGTAAATATTATATATTAAACTATTTTATAACTTAGTGATTTTTTCAAAAAACACTTTTTTTTTCAAAAACACTACGCGTCCCCGGTCAAAAAACCGTTTTTTTTAAAAAATAAAAGCAGATTCATGTTTAGCTTTTTAAGGAGATTCAGAAAATGGTATTAATAAAAAAAAATTTAAAAAGAAATTTTTTCCAAAAAAATTTTTTTGGCTAAACTACGCGTCCCTACGCGTCCCCGGTCAAAATACAGTTTTTTTAAAAAAATCAAAACGGATTCATATTTAGCTCATTAAAAGAATACAGAATATGTAAATATTATATATTAAACTATTTTATAACTTAGTGATTTTTTCAAAAAACACTTTTTTTTTCAAAAACACTACGCGTCCCCGGTCAAAAAACCGTTTTTTTTAAAAAATAAAAGCAGATTCATGTTTAGCTTTTTAAGGAGATTCAGAAAATGGTATTAATAAAAAAAAATTTTTTCCAAAAAAATTTTTTTTTGGCTAAACTACGCGTCTCCGGTCAAAATACAGTTTTTTTTAAAAAATCAAAACGGATTCATATTTAGCTCATTAAAAGAATACAGAATATGTAAATATTATATATTAAACTATTTTATAACTTAGTGATTTTTTCAAAAAACACTTTTTTTTTCAAAAACACTACGCGTCCCCGGTCAAAAAACCTTTTTTTTAAAAAAATAAAAGCAGATTCATGTTTAGCTTTTCAAGGAGATTCAGAAAATGGTATTAATAAAAAAAAATTAAACTACGCGTCCCCGGCCAAAATACAGTTTTTTTTAAAAAATCAAAACGGATTCATATTTAGCTCATTGAAAGAATACAGAATATGTAAATATTATATTTTAAACTATTTTATAACTTAGTGATTTTTTCAAAAAACACTTTTTTCGAAAACACTACGCGTCCCCGGTCAAAAAACCGTTTTTTTTAAAAATAAAAGCAGATTCATGTTTAGCTTTTCAAGGAGATTCAGAATAATTTTGGTAGTTGAGAATTCAAATAAAATATTTAAAAAAGCCAATGTCTAGCCCATATTTAAAATTAAAAAATTTTCAAGGATATCTATTTTAAATTTTACCCAAGTTGATTTCTATCATAAATGTAAATTATGATATTTCTAATACCCTTACATTGCAACATTTTTACCTCTTTTTCTCCTAAATATTAATATTTTTATGAAATATATTAATAAAGCATATTTAGTATCGTATACACCTAACTAATTAGTAATTACCCATCAACCTCGTCATTCTGATTAAATTAAATTAATTTTATAAAAAAAAATTTTTAATATATATATATACAAATATTTCAAAATATAAAATTGACGGGGGGGCTCAATGGTTAGAACGTATGCCTTCCGAACGATAAGTTGCTAGTTCGAATCCCGGATTGCCATAAAAAATTTTAAAAAAAATTTTTTAACATTAGCGTGATAATAATAGCTCTCGATTTATTTAACATTAAGATGATAGGAAAGTTGATAGAAAAAAAAAATTTTAACATTAGGAGATAGGAAAGTGAAATTAACGTTAAAAAATATCAAAGTTGATAGAAAAAAAATACGAAAACGTTCATTTCTTGATTACATTTATAGATAGATAGATATATATCATATTAAATCAATGTGTTAAAAAGCTAAAAAATCAAACAAAGTTGAGTGTTCTAAATCTGATTGATGAATTAGAAAATATTATAATTATAATTTATTTTTCATTTATGTTAGTAATAAGTTTTTTAAAATAACTTTCTAATCTTACATTAATAGTTAAAATTTATCATTTTATGTTTTGTATATGGGAGACTGGGGTTAGGACCCCGGGCTTGGCAAACCACTTAATCTCATTTCAAAATTAAATATCCTAATATAGTTTTTATTAGTTTACATCTATAGACAAAAAATCTTTTGAAATATTAAATTATTAAAAATTTTATTTAAGAAATAAAATTTTGATGAAGTTTTCAAAAGATTTTTACATGATATAATTTTAATTATAATATATAATCATTTATATGTAAATTAAATTTTATAGTTAATTTTAAACACTCTTCTATAATTTGGAAATGTTCAATGTGTATTTATTATATCTAGATATATTTCAATCATAATTTGTCAATTTAGAGCTAGCGGCGCTTGCTAAACCATACAAGTCAATTAAAGCAGTTAATAATGAAAAAAATTTCAAAATCTTGTAAAGGCAATTCATGTCTGTTTTATAATTGGTGTTTAGGATTTATGCTATCATAATCTCTCCTTAAGATCTTTATTTTTTATGTCCAAAATGTTTATTAAATTAACCAAAATTAAGTTTCAATTTTTATATAAAATAAGCCTCAATTTATAAGTATATGATATATACTACAATACAACAAAATTATTCTATTTGTATCATTATTAATAAATAAAAATACATTTCAATTTATTATGGCCTTAAAAAACCAATGGTTTAGGAAGCCCCTTGAAGTGGTTTGCCTCACCCCGCTATTGGGGATTGTTAGACATATATTTGATTTTTACAAAAAATAAAATTTAAAAAAAATAAATATATTCTTAAATTTTTTTATAAGGCCCCTTTATAAAGTTTTGTTTTCGGTATCTAATCATATTTTATTTTTTATATTATGTAAAAAAAAACCAGAAACTATAGCCAATTTTTTAAAAATAGGTTAGACTAACCGCAGTCTCTCCTACTATATTCACCAAATTTATAAAACAAATAATTTTATTAATCAGATAAATATACCATTTATTATTTCAAGAAATATACAATTTATTAAATATAATAAGATTACTAAAACATAATTTTTAATAAAATACCATTTATATTACATATTATTATATACAATCGTAATAGGTAAAAAAATGTAAATATTCGTTTGTTGTAAAATAATGTGGGTGTTTCAATCACGGTAGTCTTTATAGAATGTTGTTTCCGACGTATCACGATTTAGTTTTCCATTTTCAATCATTGACCAAACTATAATATGATGTTGTTTTCATCTTCGATATCTATTTATAGTTTATATAATAATATAATATATTTATTTTTATATGCCTTTTTACCTTCAATAATTATAGTCAAAAATTTCAAATTATAGGACTTTAATAATTGGTAATATTTAAACTTAAAAATAACTATTTATATTGTTATTACAAAAAAATAATTGGATGCATTGTTCTAACTGTACAAACTTTCTCTAATATTAGCTAAACAATATTACATTATTTATACTATATTAATGATTTGTCCCGCTATTGCTTTTGATCTTATATTTAATATATTTTATAGTTATAATATTATGGTTTTAGCCATAAAAATATTAAAATTATTTTCATATTTTTATGGCTAAAACCATAATATTATAACTATAAAATATATTAATATAGTATAAATAATGTAATATTGTTTAGCTAATATTAGAGAAAGTTTGTACAGTTAGAACAATGCATCCAATTATTTTTTTGTAATAACAATATAAATAGTTATTTTTAAGTTTAAATATTACCAATTATTAAAGTCCTATAATTTGAAATTTTTGACTATAATTATTGAAGGTAAAAAGGCATATAAAAATAAATATATTATATTATTATATAAACTATAAATAGATATCGAAGATGAAAACAACATCATATTATAGTTTGGTCAATGATTGAAATTGGAAAACTAAATCGTGATACGTCGGAAACAACATTCTATAAAGACTACCGTGATTGAAACACCCACATTATTTTACAACAAACGAATATTTACATTTTTTTACCTATTACGATTGTATATAATAATATGTAATATAAATGGTATTTTATTATTGACAAATTATGATTGAAATATTATCTAGATATAATAAATACACATTGAACTTTTCCAAATTATAGAAGAGTGTTTAAAATTAACTATAAAATTTAATTTAGATATAAATGATTATATATTTTAATAAAAATTAAAATTTTGTCATGTAAAAATTTTTTGAAAATTTCATCAAAATTTTATTTCTTAAATAAAATCTTTAATAAATTAAATATTTCAAAAGATTTTTTGTCTATAGATGTAAACTAATAAAAACTATATTAGGATATTTAATTTTGAAATGAGATTAAGTGGTTTGCCAAGCCCGGGGTCCTAACCCCAGTCTCCCATATACAAAACATATAAAATGATAAATTTTAACTATTAATGTAAGATTAGAAAGTTATTTTAAAAAACTTATTACTAACATAAATGAAAAATAAATTAATAATTATAATATTTTCTAATTCATCAATCAGATTTAGAACCCTCAACTTTGTTTGATTTTTTAGCTTTTTAACACATTGATTTAATATGATATATATCTATCTATCTATAAATGTAATCGAGAAATGAACGTTTTCGTATTTTTTTTCTATCAACTTTGATATTTTTTTAACGTTAATTTCACTTTCCTATCTCCTAATGTTAAAATTTTTTTTTTCTATCAACTTTCCTATCATCTTAATGTTAAATAAATCGAGAGCTATTATTATCACGCTAATGTTAAAAATTTTTTTTTTAAATTTTTTATGGCAAAACGGGATTCGAACTCGCAACTTATCGTTCGGAAGGCATACGTTCTAACCATTGAGCCCCCCCGTTAATTTTATATTTTGATATATTTATATATATATATATTAAAATTTTTTTTTATAAAATTAATTTAATTTAATCAGAATGACGAGGTTGATGGGTAATTACTAATTAGTTAGGTGTATACGATACTAAATATGCTTTATTAATATATTTCATAAAAATATTAATATTTAGGAGAAAAAGAGGTAAAAATGTTGCAATGTAAGGGTATTAGAAATATCATAATTTACATTTATGATAGAAATCAACTTAGGTAAAATTTAAAATAGATATCCTTGAAAATTTTTTAATTTTAAATATGAGCTAGACATTGGCTTTTTTAAATATTTTATTTGAATTCTCAACTACCAAAATTATTCTGAATCTCCTTGAAAAGCTAAACATGAATCTGCTTTTATTTTTTTAAAAAAACGGTTTTTTGACCGGGGACGCGTAGTGTTTTCGAAAAAAGTGTTTTTTGAAAAAATCACTAAGTTATAAAATAGTTTAAAATATAATATTTACATATTCTGTATTCTTTCAATGAGCTAAATATGAATCCGTTTTGATTTTTTTAAAAAAACTGTATTTTGGCCGGAGACGCGTAATCTGCTTTTATTTTTTAAAAAAAAAGGTTTTTTGACCGGGGACGCGTAGTGTTTTTGAAAAAAAAAGTGTTTTTTGAAAAAATCACTAAGTTATAAAATAGTTTAATATATAATATTTACATATTCTGTATTCTTTTAGTGAGCTAAATATGAATCCGTTTTGATTTTTTAAAAAAAACTGTATTTTGACCGGGGACGCGTAGTTTAGCCAAAAAAAAATTTTTTTTAAATTTTTTTTTTATTAATACCATTTTCTGAATCTCCTTAAAAAGCTAAACATGAATCTGCTTTTATTTTTTAAAAAAAAAGGTTTTTTGACCGGGGACGCGTAGTGTTTTTGAAAAAAAAAGTGTTTTTTGAAAAAATCACTAAGTTATAAAATAGTTTAAAATATAATATTTACATATTCTGTATTCTTTTAATAAGCTAAATATGAATCCGTTTTGATTTTTTAAAAAAAACTGTATTTTGACCGGGGACGCGTAGGGACGCGTAGTTTAGCCAAAAAAAATTTTTTTGGAAAAAATTTCTTTTTAAATTTTTTTTTTATTAATACCATTTTCTGAATCTCCTTAAAAAGCTAAACATGAATCTGCTTTTATTTTTTAAAAAAAACGGTTTTTTGACCGGGGACGCGTAGTGTTTTTGAAAAAAAAAGTGTTTTTTGAAAAAATCACTAAGTTATAAAATAGTTTAAAATAAAATATTTACATATTCTGTATTCTTTTAATGAGCTAAATATGAATCCGTTTTGATTTTTTTAAAAAAAGTGTATTTTGACCGGGGACGCGTAGAAACGCGTAGTTTAGCCAAAAAAAAATTTTTTTTTTATTAATACCATTTTCTGAATCTCCTTAAAAAGCTAAACATGAATCTGCTTTTATTTTTTAAAAAAAAAGGTTTTTTGACCGGGGACGCGTAGTGTTTTTGAAAAAAAAAGTGTTTTTTGAAAAAATCACTAAGTTATAAAATAGTTTAAAATATAATATTTACATATTCTGTATTCTTTTAATAAGCTAAATATGAATCCATTTTGATTTTTTAAAAAAAACTGTATTGACCGGGGACGCGTAGGGACGCGTAGTTTATTTTTTAAAAAAATAAATTTTTGTAAATTTTATATAGTTACCGTATTTTTTTTAAATTAAAAAAAACATTTTCTAACTCATCTTATAAAGCTTAATAAGATTTCCTATTAATATTAATAAAAATAAATCGTTTTGACCGGGGACGCGTAGGGACGCGTAGTTTTTGGGGACGCGTATTTTAGTCATTCCCAAATTTTGTTAATATATTTTCTTTTAAATTTTATTAAAAATAGTTTATCTAAATTTTGTTATAATATTATCCTTTAACTTTATTATAAATAACAAATTTTTTTTAAATAAATTTTTCCTTAAGTATCTGGCAATCAGGCTGGTGATGGAGATAGAAATGTGGTGATATCTGGGGTCTTTTTGGAAGAAGTTCAAGATCCTTTAACTCAAATCATAGAACTACCTCTACATTTCCCATTCTTAGATGAAAGTTTTATAGATGAAGAAGATGTAGTAGATACCTCCATTGCAGCTAATAGCTCTGATACTTTTCCAGTAATAGTTAATAGCATTCAATCTTCATTCTTAAATATCGAACAACCATATAATTTTATTCTTTCCCCAAAAAATCGTAATTTATTATATTCCAATAATATTTATATATACATTATAAATTTGGGTTTTTATTTAAATGTAGACTAAAGCATTGTACCGCTAGAGGTACTTTGTTAAATAGGAAGTTTACATTAACCAATTTTCACAACCATTCTGATGAATCTGAGGAAGAGCATTATGCAATTTTAGTAACTATGAATAATCTTAAAGAACAAATTCGAGCATACCCCTACCAAAGCAAACGTAAAACATATAATCAAGTTATGCGTATTAGAAAAATGGATCCACTCGTTCAACTCCATCCTAATGCTCTACCAACATTTATATCTGTGAAAAGTATTATGAATCGTGTTATTAAATCATTGAGACCTCCTTTACCTCTTATAAATTCTGATATCCGATTAGACAGCGATTATACGTTAACACTAGATAATAAAACATTTTTAATTTCTAATGAAAATAATGAATTATTAATATTTTCTACACATGAATTACTTGAATGCCTCTGTAATGCTGACCAAATTTTGATGGACGGTACATTTTTTTCGTGTCCATTATTATTTAAGCAATTATACACTATTCATATGATTAATCATACAATAATTCCTTGCGCATATATATTGTTGCCAAATAAAAAGAAAGAAACATATTTTAAAATGTTGGATCTTTTAAAAAATTATTGCCTCTCTATAGGTTTTTTATTTTCTCCTCCTAAAGCACTTATAGATTTTGAAATGGGAGTACTTAGAGCTCTCGAAGAAATGTTTCCAACCATTTCTGTCAAGGGATGCTACTTTCATTATTGCCAATGTATTTTAAGACGTATACAGGGTAATAGATTGGCAGCATTTAGTCGACTTAATCCTGATTTTAAGAGATTTTATCGCAGACTCATGGCGATATCCTTTTTAACTGAAATGGACATACCATTGGTATTGTCTGAATTAAAGAGTGAGGTAGAGGCCTTTAATTTAGATCCCATAAGAGATCTTTTTACATATTTTAAAAATACTTGGATTAACCTAAACGCAAAATTTAAATATAAGATGTGGAATATGTATGATGTTCAAGGAGTAAGAACAAATAACCATGTTGAAGGATTTCATCGTTCTCTAAAAGAGTATATAACATATTCTCATCCTAATTTATATCTTTTTATTGATATATTAAAACAAATACAACAAGATATGGATATCAAATTCATTCAATTGCGTAATGGGAAAAAAGTTACTGAAAGGAAAAAAAAATACTGTATAATAGACGAGAAATATTTTTATATTATGCTACTTATACACCAATGCAGTATTTAGATAAAATATCGAGATATTTAATATCGAAAAAAATTAATGAGATACCTGCTGACTAGATATTGAATTTGTCCACTCATTATTATTTTTCATTATTAAATATCTTGATATTTTATCTAAATACTGCATTGGTGTATAAGTAGTATAATATAATTTCGTATATTATACAGTATTTTATTTTCCTTTCAATAACTTTCAACCCAATACGCAATTGAATGAATTTGATATCCATATCTTGTTGTATTTGTTTTAATATATCAATAAAAAGATATAAATTAGGATGAGAATATGTTATATACACTTTTAGAGAGCGATGAAATCCTTCAACATGGTTATTTGTTCTTACTCCTTGAACATCATACATATTCCACATCTTATATTTAAATTTTGCGTTTGGGTTAATCCAAGTATTTTTAAAATATGTAAAAAGATCTCTTATGGGATCTAAATTAAAGGCCTCTACCTCACTATTTAATTCAGACAATACCAATGGTATGTCCATTTCAGTTAAAAAGGGTATCGCCATGAGTCTGCGATACAATCCATTACCCTGTATACGTCTTAAAATACATTGGCAATAATGAAAGTAGCATCCCTTGACAGAAATGGTTGGAAACATTTCTTCGAGAGCTCTAAGTACTCCCATTTCAAAATCTATAAGTGATTTAGGAGGAGAAAATAAAAAACCTATAGATAGGCAATAATTTTTTAAAAGATCCAACATTTTTAAATATGTTTCTTTCTTTTTATTTGGCAACAATATATATGCGCAAGGAATTATTGTATGATTAATCATTATATGAATAGTGTATAATTGCTTAAATAATAATGGACACGAAAAAAATGTACCGTCCATAAAAATTTGGTCAGCATTACAGAGGCATTCAAGTAATTCATGTGTAGAAAATAATAATAATTCATTATTTTTATTAGAAATTAAAAATGTTTTATTATCTAGTGTTAACGTATAATCGCCGTCTAATCGGATATCAGAATTTATAAGAGGTAAAGGAGGTCTCAATGATTTAATAACACGATTCATAATACTTTTCACAGATAGAAATGTTGGTAGAGCATTAGGATGGAGTTGAACGAGTGGATCTATTTTTCTAATACGCATAACTTGATTATGTGTTTTACGTTTGTTTTGATAGTGATATGCTGTAATTTGTTCTTTTAGTTTATTCATAGTTACTTAAAATGCATAATCCTCTCCTTTAGATTCATCAGATTCCATTGATTTTCAATTATTTTTTTTGAAATTATTATTTTTGGGGGAGTAAAATTATATAGCAGTTCGATATTTACATTAAGGTTGAGTGGTTATATTTATGAGGAAAAGATTGGTGAAATTTATTACATCTTTTCCAGCCATGAAATTTTTATCTGCATGGTAAATGTAGATTTTTATAATGTGTTATAGTTTGAGAAAATTAATATTAACATTGTATTGTGGGAATATATTCTGTATGTCATATTACTACTAATTAAATATTATATTTTATTAAAGGATATTTGTAGCTTTTTAAATTTATTGTTCATTTGAAAAAATTGATAATTTGCGAAAATTATATTTCATAATAAAACTATTTATACATATATTTTTGTATCATATCTAAACAAGTGTATGGGTGGAATAATAAAGGAAATACAAAATCTTAATTTCTAATCCTTTTTTATTCAAATAATCAATTTTGATAATATATTTCTGACGCGATATCTTTTTTAAATTAAAAAAATTGATTAATTAATTAATAGACTTTTCTTATGTCTTGCTCAATCATAGGTTTTAATTAAATAGGTTAATGGTAAAATTAAATCAGCCATCGGCAGGTGCTCAACCCAAAGTATGATACGAACAATAATTATAAAATCTCTTTCAAAAAATTATGAACAAACCTAATCTAAACGGATTTAAATATTAGCAATTATAAACATATAAATAATTAAACATTTTTGATTTAAGATATTAATAAAAAATAATTTTTTAATGTGATTTATTGGATGATGTTAACTTTGCAAAATTTATTTCTCCACAGTTATAGATCTACCTAAAAATATATAGACATTCCTCTATCAATGTAAAGTTTAATATAGCTTCGAATCTGAAGGGCTTATAAATTTAGTTTAGTTAGATATTGTATATCGAGGGAAAGCAACTTGCCGACGAGATATATATTCTAATTTAAAAAACTTTAACTGAAGATCATAATTAAAATATTTGGGTCTAAAGCGGACACATAGTATATGTGGAGAGAGAGAAAAACTAAATAGATAAGGTGCTATAAGATACTCAAAATTTATCAATCGGACAGATTAAAAATTATGTTTTGAAATGACTTTTCCCCTTTATTAAGCTTTTACAGAAAGTTTGGCTCATGTTGGGTCTTTTAAAGAAAGATTTACCAATCAGCAGGATAAAAAAAAGCTTGCAGGCAATTCTAGTTATTATATTATAACAGAAAAACACTCTTGTACCATACCGCAAATACTTGTATCTAAGATACAAGTTCCTTTTGTATCTTGTACTCAGTATATTTTTAACAAGATACTAATATCTGTATATAAGATCCTTTTCTGCGAATGGACAGGTAAAATATATGTTTATTTTATAGCCTATCAATTTTTTTTATATAAATAAATTAAATGTTTTTATTTGGTGAAACAAATTTATCCATATATCTAAATAAATAAAATAGAATATAGAAGAAATTGTAGTCCATAAATTAAAAATATGTATAGAAAAGATATGTTACATAGAAAATATAACATACATGATAAATTTAAAAAGTAAATTTATTTCCGTTAGATGGCGTAATATATTATAAATTTAGATTTTAATTAAAAAAAATATGAATAATACGAGCATAATCCTTTACTTTGGATAAATTTATTTGGTACAAGCTATATAATCATAAAATGAAAAAAAATTTAAGTTTCCATCATTATTTTTTGAGTTATGATGTCAATTCTTAGTTTAGTCAAAAATATTTAGATTTTTGGGATTTTAAAAATGTTTTATTTTTTTGACTCATGTTGTGTAAACTTACTCATATAAACATAAAATGAAAAAAAATTTAAGTTTCCTTCATTATATTTTGAGTTATGATGTCAATTCTTAGTTTAGTCAAAAATATTTAGATTTTTGGGATTTTAAAAATGTTTTATTTTTTTGACTCATGTTGTGTAAACATACTCATATAAACATAAAATGATAAAAAATTTAAGTTTTCGTCATTATATTTTGAGTTATGATGTCAATCCTTAGTTTAGTCAAAAATATTTAGATTTTTGGGATTTTAAAAATGTTTTATTTTTTTGACTCATGTTGTGTAAACATACTCATATAAACATAAAATAAAAAAAAAATTAAGTTTCCGTCATTATTTTTTGAGTTATGATGTCAATTCTCAGTTTAGTAAAAATATTTAGATTTTTGGGATTTTAAAAATGTTTTATTTTTTTGACTTCATGTTGTGTAAACATACTCATATAAACATAAAATAAAAAAAAAATTAAGTTTCCGTCATTATTTTTTGAGTTATGATGTCAATTCTCAGTTTAGTAAAAATATTTAGATTTTTGGGATTTTAAAAATGTTTTATTTTTTTGACTTCATGTTGTGTAAATTTACTCATATAAACATAAAATGAAAAAAAATTTAAGTTTCCGTCGTTAATTTTTGAGTTATAATGTCAATTCTCAGTTTAGTCAAAAATATTTAGATTTTTGGGATTTTAAAAATGTTTTATTTTTTTGACTTCATGTTGTGTAAATTTA